GCCCCCTGAAATTTCTGGGCCCTTCTTGGGCCGCCGGGGCCCCCCCTGAGCCCCCCTGGGCCTGCCTGGGCCCCCCTAAGCCCCCCTGGGCCCCCCTGGGCCCCCCTGGACCTTCCTGGGCCCCCCTTGAGCCCCCCGCCCCCTGCGCCCCCCTCACCCCTGCACCCCTGGGCCCCCCTGGGCCGCCCTGGGCCTTGCTCCCCTGGGCCTGCCTGGGCCCCCCTGGGCCTCTTGGGCCCCCCCTGGGCCTCCCTGCCCCTTTCTGCGCCGCCCCGGGCTGGACCTTTGTGTTTTCTGGCCTGGGCCCCTGGGCCTGGGCTCCCTGGGCCCTGGCCCCCCCTCTCTGCCCCGCCCCGATCCTTTCTGGCCCCGTTTAAACGGTTTAAATTCGGCCCCTCCCTACCCTCACTGAGCTGAGCTTTTTGCTGCGCCTCCTTGACTGGGCCGCTCTGGGCCCTGGGCTGCCCAGACTGACCCTGGCCTGGGCCCGTGGTCCTTCTCCCTCTGTGGAGGCTTGTTTTTTGTGAAAAGCCGTGACGGAACGAAGAAGTTTTATGTAAAGAAAGCAGTTGGCTTGAGTTTAGGCCTAAACCCTAAAAGGAATAGGTTTGGGTGGCTTTGCCGCCTTGGACGGCGTGGGGTGGGAGAAAAGTGTTAGATGGCCTTCCACAATCGGGCCAAAGCTGCTCTTCGCACCTCACGACGCTTTCGAGCTTGTTCCAAAACCTAACCTTCACAGCATCTACGCCCTATCACAGCAAACCCTAAACCCTAAACCCTAAACCCTAAACCCTAAACCCTAAACCCTATGCCTAGTGTCAGGGGGGACATCCCAAGTTTTGGGTCTTACGTGTCAGAGAGGTCAGCATCGGACATCCGGCGAAGTGTAGAGACCTCATATACCCTGAGCACCGAAGCCTAGGGTTTAGGGTTTACGGGTTTAGGGTTTAAGGTTTAGGGCTTGGGGTTTCGGCCGGTTTAGATAATCTAGATATCAGGGTTCGGGGCTCCGGGGCTCATATGGTAAGACTCATACCCCCAAGGTCGTACCCCCGAAGGTTCCCCTGCATGTTCTCCTACTATGGCCCTTGTGTTCCCTTAAAGCCTTAGAGGATCCTGAAAAAGGGACCCCCCAAACCCAGGGGTAGCACCTCACGGGTAAAAGGGTAGAGTCCCTTGAACATCTCGGCGAACTTGCTACAAGTCCAGCCCCTCATCATGCTTCCCCCCTGCAACGGCTCAATCCTTTGAAGGCCTCGATGGACCCTGTAATCCGTAAACCCGTCAGCCTCATAAGACTCCCATTGTTTGTTTTGGGGTTTAGGGTTTCGGATTTAGGATTCAGGGTTTAGGGTTTAGGGTTTGTAAGGGGTTTGTTTCCAAGACGTTCCCGAGGAGGAGGAGCGCGAGCGGCAGCGCGAGCGGCAGCGGGAGCAGCAGCGGAAGGAGTTCCTTGGGCGGCAGGAGGTTCAGCAGGTGAATTTGCAACCCCATGGGACAGACAGTAGGTAAACGGAGCCTACCCTAAACCCTAAACCCTAAACCTTGAACTCTAAACCCTAAACCCTAAACCCCAAACCAGGTAGGATTCAGGGCTGAAGGCCGTCCTTCGAAAGCCCCAGCTGCTGGCTGGTCGGATCCAACCAAGGTTTAGGGTTTAGGGTTTAGGGTTTAGGGTTTAGGGTTTAGGGTTTAGGGTTTAGGGGGGCAAACCGCCAAACCTCAAGCATCTCAGGACCAAAGCAAACCAAAGCAGGGCGTCTTCTTCTCCCCTCGGTTACTTCGCAAGCTAGCACATGCCACCTTTCCCCAACGATCTTGCCAGCCCTCAGAAGTTCCCAGATCTTCGAATCTAGGCTAGCTTTCTAAACCCGAAACCCGAAACCCGAAACCCTAAACCCTAAACCCTAAACCCTAAACCCTAAACCCTAAACCCTAAACCCTGACTCTTTCATCCTGTTTGCCCAGGCGTGCTGCGAAGGAGATGGCGGAGAAGGAGAAGCAAGCACAGGAGCAGCAGGCGAAGCAGGCACAGCAGGCTGAAGAGTCCAAGCAGAAGTTGGTGGAGATGGGTTTAGGGTTTAGGGTTTAGGGTTTAGGGTTTAGGGTTTAGGGTTTAGGGTTTAGGGTTTAGGGTTTAGATAACCCAACCGCAAGCCCCTGAGTATCGGACGATGGATGAGGGAGGCATGACCAGTGGAGCTATATTGAAGCAGGGTTTAAATTACTCTTATTGGTGACTGTGTGTAAGGCTCCTTTTGGTATTGTTGAGTGTATAAATAGGGTGTCCGTTTGGGGATACAAGGAAGAGAAGCCCTACTTCATATGATTTTTGAGAGCTGATGTGGGGGGGGGGGGGGGGGGGGCAACCTTAATCCGATTCCTGAATCGGATAGGGACCCGTCGCCAACCTTATTTCATGCGAACAATCAGACACACAAGAGGTCTTCGACTGCTACTACTTTCAGGTCCCGAACCCCCCCCCCCCCCCCCGAACACCAATCCCAAACTTGCGAGTGACAAAGCGCCAACACTGGAAGACGCTAGCCCTAAACCCTAAATGCTAATCCTAAACCCTGAACCCTGAACCCTGAACCCTCAACACTAGCCCTAAACCCCAAACCCCAAACCCTAAACCCTAAACCCTAAACCCTGGAGTTGGGGCAGGCTTTGCTGCGGGAGCAGCAGCGGACTTGGCATCTGGAGGAGGGTTAACGGGAAATGTTGATGCCCTGGCAAGAAATTTGTAGCGTGTAGGGTTTAGGGTTTCGGGTTGAGGGTTTAGGGTTTAGGGTTTAGGGTTTAGGGTTTAGGGAGCTTACAGTCGATAGTAGTTATGCAAGATTTGCAAGAGGTGGGTCCTTGCTAGAGGGTGTGTGGGGGGGGGAGGGGGGTTGTTTTTGGTTCAGGGTTTAGGGTATCAATGGCTTCAGGCCGGTGATGGCGTCTGCACCCCTAAAGCCTGAACCCCGAAGCCAAAACGCATCGCCTGCCGCCAAGCTCCCCACACCCCTACTGGGTCTACCATCCCCGAACCACACACACACACACATGCCAACCACGTCCGTACAATGGCACCCCCCACAAACACGATTGAAGCGACCCTAAACCCTAAACCCTAAACCTTAAACCCTAAACCCTAAACCGGCTTTGGGCGTACTTGCGTTCTCAGACTTGCGGAGTGCCGTCTCGGACCCGAGGCAGATGTTGGCCGTGCAAGCCGAGAGCCTTCTCCAGAACTTTGCTTGCCCAAGGCCCGCGGGTTTAGGGTTTAGGGTTTAGGGTTTAGGGTTTAGGGTTTAGGGTTTAGGGTTTTGAGACGGTGGGTGTTCAGGTTCAGGCAATAAAGGGAACCCTTTTTTTTTGTGGGTGTTTTTTTGCTGTGGGTGTTTTTTTGCGTTGGCCTAGGGTTTAGGGTTTAGGGTTGAGGGTTTCGGATGTTGAGACGGTGGGTGTTCAGGTTCAGGTTCGAGGGTCTTGATAGGATGTCAATGAAGAGCGTGAATATGGTTTCAACAATTGTGTTAATAGAGCTTTGATAGGGTTTACCCCTCATTTTTGTTGCCTGTACTAGTAGAGTATTGCTTTGTTGTTTCTGGGCTTTTCGGGCTTTGGCGAATTTCGCGCTTCCCAGTCGTGTTCGGGCTTTCAGGCTGTAAGGGTTGTTTGTTTTTTTTTCTCCTGCGGTTGTTTCAAGGTCCGCCCCTCCTGCCCACAATGTATATGGAAGTAGGAGGCGAGCTCTTTGTCTGTAGCTATAGCTAGAGATCTCATTCTAGGGACCCTAAACCCTAAACCCGATTTAACTAGGGTGTAGGGTTCGGGGCTTTTCCATCGTGAAGCCCCTCCTTGCAAACTAATCCCGGTTCCAACTCCAAGTCGTGGGCTTGGGGCGTCGAAATGTATGGCTAGTTAGCAAGAACAGAAATCCTACAACAGGAGGGTGGGAGTCTAGGTTGCTACCAAGTTGAATTGACAAGCCACAGAGAGAGAGCTAGGCCCCAGAAGCCGAACTCCCCCCCCCCCCCCCCCCTAAACCCTAAACCCTAAACCCTAAACCCTTGTGGCAGCCCCTATGGCCACTATGCGCCCATGGCGTTTGGAATGCCTGGCGTCGCGTGCCAGCCTTAGAGAACCAAGCGGGAAGAGTTGCGCAAGTTGCAACTTTGGGACAATATGCCCTAAAAGGGTTTAGGGTTTAGGGTTTAGGGTTTAGGGTTTAGGTCGATACCTTAGTAGGGATTGGAATATCACAGGGCCAAGGGCCCCTATTTTCGGGTTCATTTGGTCCGCCAGGCAGAGTCTTCTGTTCCCAAGTTCTTGAAGGCAAAGGTGATCCCCTAAACCCTATACCCTTAACCCTAAACCCGAAACCCGATAGTAGTCCTAAACCCTAAGCCCTAAACCCTAAACCCTAAACCCTCTGCCTCGCGACGCCTTCCGTGCTTGTGGTGTTTTGTTGCATCCGCCCGAGGCAGGGGATGATGCCTTGCCAGCCAGCTCCGGCCCGACAGGGTTTAGGGTGGTTAGGGTGTTTTAGGCTTTTAGGGTTTAGGGTTTTGGGGTTTGGGGTTTAGGGTTTAGGGTTTGAGGGCTTTAGGGGTTTAAGAAAATGATCATTCGTGTGAGTGTTCAAAGCCATTTGTGCAGCACGTGCACAGTGTCTATGTTGGTAGAAGCGCATCCAGTCCTTTGCAAACTAGTCGGGCTCAATGTCGGTTGTCACGGTTTGTTCAGCTGGCTTTCAAGGACCCGGGACATCCCAGGAAGGCTCCATATTCATGTAGCGCATTGTAGCCCCAACCGCCCCCTGACATGGGCAGGTTCCTAACTTAGGGTCCCTTCTTGGGGACCCATCAGAAGGCGGCCACCCTGTAGAATGGGATCCCAACAAGGCACCCTGTCTTCAAAGAACTACCCCATCTTCTTTTTGGGCATCTTGGCTCGAGAGCAAACGAGGATCTCACTGAAGCCAAAGAGCCATCCGCATCACGGGCGCGATGCACGTTCTCGTGACAGCATGCCTTGCCGCAATGGCCCACGCAAACATTTTGACGTTTGACACGCTCCCGGTGAATGCGGCGGGCGCGTGGTTCGGGTCAGGGCCAACGGAGTTCTTGTTGAGCAATATGTTCTTGTTGTCGTTCTTTGTTTTTTTTTCCTATTGCCTCTTGTCATGAGCACAATTTGTGGTCGACGGTTAACGCACTTTGTGTATTACTGGCATGTTTCATAACATCCAAAGTTATTACACCAGAATAATGATGATTCTGCTTCGTACTACTGCCAGTAATCGAGTCTAGCACTTGGAGGTTCATGGTACTTATTAACCAAGTATAACTGTGCTTAAAACCGTACTTATGAGTATATTAGGGCACTTAAGGGGCTATGAAGTGGGCTATAAGTACAGTCGGCTAATAAGTACCTAAACCCTAAACCCTAAACCCTAAACCCTAAACCCTAAACCCTGAACCTCAAAACAGAGGCCCATGCAGGCCAAGTATGCTTGCTCCGACCCAAGTACCTCGTCCGGCTTGGAGGAGTGTCTCTCGGTCCTAAACCCTAAACCCTAAACCCTAAACCCTCAACCCTAAACCCTAAACCCTAAACCCTAAACCCTAAACCCTAAACCCTAAACGTCCGGCTTGGAGGAGTGCCTCTCGGTCCTGCTGGCACCAAACGGCTGGCCGGACAGCTACTTGAAGCTCGGAGGTTCATGGTACTTAGGGGGTTTAGGGTTTAGGGTTTAGGGTTTAGGGTTTAGAGTTCAGGAATACTTGGCAATACTTGTGAGTTTTTCGGCACTCGAATTCCCAAGAAACTGCCAAACAACTTGAAGCTTAGGAATTACTTGGGAAGAACTTTAATTCTGGTGTACCAAAAATCTTCAGAAACAGTAAAGTTTGAAGCTTAGGAACACTTAGGAAGAACTTTAGTTTTTGTGTACCATATTTGCTAAGAAACAGCTAGTTGTTTTTTTTTTCCATTTTGGCTAGGGTTACAAGGCCAAGATTTCAAAATTCCTCAGCAACAGCAAAGTTCATATTTTGGCTAGGGTCCCAACATCAGTATAGCCCTAAACCCTAAACCCTAAACCCTAACCCTAAACCCTAAACCCTAAACCCTAAACCTTAAACCCTAAACAAAGGAAGCTGGTCTATGAAGCGCCTTCTTTGACGCTTGCAGATGGCGCGAGGGCCTCAGTCGACATGCACCGTAGACTTTGGGCATGGCGCAGGGCCTGTTTCATGTAGGTGCTACCCTAAACCCGAAACCCTAAACCCTAAACCCTAAACCCTGAACCCTAAACCCTATACCCTAAACCCTTATTGCAAGGCCTGAGATAGGGTGGGAACCTACGAAGACTAGGGGTCGGAAGCTTCTCGGTAATCATAACCAAAACCGGGCAGTATCGGTAACGGAAGAGGTGAAATGCTCGAATCCAGCTGTTTTGCGTGTAAGAGTGTCACCTCAAACTGCTATGTTAAATCCTAAACCCTAAACCCTCAACCCTCAACCCTAAACCCTTTGGCGCTACTTAGAGGTGACCAGTGCATCCGCCTTTGCATGCCACCTTTTAACAAACATTTTCGGGGAGTTGGGAGTACTGTTGGCTTGCTTGTGGCTGAGGGTTGAGGGTTGAGGGTTTAGGGTTCAGGGTTTAGGGTTTAGGGTTTAGGGTTTAGGGTGAAGGTGTACCCATTTCCCAATATGACAACAAGTCGAATCTTCTCTAGAATTTGCAGTCGCAAGAGAAGCAGGTTCGGTATCGCCACCTAGGAAGTCAGTCAGGGAACATTGTGTTTCTCGCTGCACCGACCGGAGGTCACCAAAGTGGAGATGGTGCGCGTCCAGAACTCCACTGTCAAAGTCCAGGTTGGCGCGAATATTCCCAGAATCTTGACAGCGTGTATAGGGTTTTTTTTTGTGCTTGAACTCGCAAGCCGTGAACTCAGCAGCCTTTACCCTCGCACCCTAAACCCTAAACCCTAAACCCTAAATCCTAAACCCTAAACCACTTCCTAGGGTTTCAAGAGCACAGGCATGGGGGGCATGGACGACCTCGTCGATGGTGTGGCCGGGAGCGCTTGGGATGGCTTCTTAGTAGCTGAGTGAGCACACTTTATTAGGGGGGGGGGGGGGGGGGGGTTAGGCGTTTGGTGTTTAGGGTTTAGGGTTTAGGGTTTAGGGTTTAGGGTTTAGGGTTTAGGGTTTAGGGTTTAGGGTTTAGGGTTTAGGGTTTAGGGTTTAGGGTTTACTCAGCAACTAAGGCTTCTTAGTTGCCACGGACTTTGCTCTGCCCTGGGCTCCGACCGTCAGCGCAATACAAATGATGCTTCTTGACGGGGATGGCCAGGAAGCCCCTAAACCCTACACCCTAAACCCTAAACCCAAAACCCAAAGTCATACTTAAGCATCAGAACCCGGTGCCCTTATCCGCCGAAATTAAGGGGGCTTCTAGTCTCGGACTCCTATCTGCCAGTTGGGACTTCGTCAATGGGCAGAGTCGTCGGTGCCCTCTTTTGGGGATTCCTAACCCTAAACCCTAAACCCTAAACCCCAAACCCTATTTTGTGATTTCCGTAAGGTTGTCGCAGCTGATCGTTAGCAACGGGTTCTCGGCAAGGCGGGCAGCTTTCGAAAGATCCTAAACCCTAAGCCCTAAACTCTAAGCCCTAAACCCTAAGCCCTAAACCCTAAGACCTTGGGCTGTTCCCTCTTAGACTAACTCTGCTTTAAGGTTCAAGGTTTAGGGTTTATGGCTGAGATGTTCCCCCTTATACTGCGAGGACCCGGAGTCGACCCTTGTTTCCTATTTTAGGGTTGGGGTGCGCTTCTAATCCCCTTAAAACCAAAAAAGGGTTTAGGGTTTAGGGTTTAGGGTTTAGGGTTTAGGGTTTAGGGTTTAGGGTTTAGGGTTTAGGGTTTAGGGTTCCTAGGTTACAAACAGATCCTAAGCCCACAAAACCTTGGGATGTTCGCCCTTCGACTCTGGGTTTTAAGGTTTAGGGCTCAACCTCTTAGGGTTGAGGGTTGAGGGTTTAGGGTTTAGGGTTTAGGGTTTGGACTTGGGATGTTCGCCCTTATATTAACAGTCCTTCATACGGATAATTGGGGGTACTATAGTGCCTATAAAGGACTGTCTTTACAAAGGGGGACAGCTCAAACCCCAAGAACCCTAAAACCTAAAGGCCATGTCTCCTGACACCGGGTTTAGGGTTTAGGGTTTAGGGTTTAGGGTTTAGGGTTTAGGGTTTAGGGTTTAGGGTTTAGGGTCTTGGGCCGTGTGTCCATCGCATGCCTCAAACAGGTCTATCCCAATGTTCACCTACCAGAACGATGGTGTGACCTTGGGTTCGCTACTAGAACGTTCTCCTTTTTGTGGTTTTTTTTGGTTTCGCGTTAACAGGGTTTAGGGTTTAGGGTTTAGGGTTTAGGGCTTAGGGTTTAGGGGTTTAGGGTTTAGGGTTTAGGGGTTGAGTGTTAAGACGAGGAATGTTGACCTGCGGCCCCTCCCGAGCCCCCCCCCCCCCCCCCCCCCCCCCCGAAGGGCAATCGAGGATTGATGACGACGGATGCCTCGGGCCCGTCAACAATACTCCAGGCTTCGATGCCACGACCCTTGCAGAGAAGTGCCCAGGCGCGACTGGGTAGGCCCTTGGGACATTTTTCTACTTTCCCTTGTCTTGGGTTTAAGAGGACCATGATTTTCGACTTTCCCTTATATTGGGTTTAAGAGGATCAGAATTCAGGGATATTTTTTCAGAGGGTTTTAAGGAATCATGATTCAGGGATATGCTTTCAAAGGGTTATCAGAGCCATCCAAGGTGAAGAATCTCACCAGTGGAATGTACAAGTGCCTCGCCAAGCCTTGAGAATGCACCTGTTTATCCGGCAGCAGTATCTGAGGGTTTAGGGTTTAGGGTTTAGGCTGTATGTAGTACAACTGCGTCTTATAGTACACGTACCAAAAGTTCAATGATCAAGAAAACGCCAACAAGAATGCAGGTACACGTTCTTCGCCTACCAGGACTCGCGCGGCACCGATTGCGACAACTGCACCCTCACTTTCCGGAACAGGATCGATGTTGGAATTTTCACCAACATCACCATTAACTCGGACCAGACACTCGACACCATCGGGGCTGCGCCTGTCTCGAAGATACGTTTCGAGGCCAACTCGAGCATGCAACTCGAAATCGAGCTTCCGACCCTGGTCACCAGCGGCCGAAAGGATTCCCAGAAGTCAGACCCCTCAGGGGCCACCGTGACGGTCACAAAGATCACCGACACGTCCTTCTACCTGGATTTTGCTATGGCAGCTCCGGGTCCAGATACTTAGTTGTAGAGTAGGTAACCTTTAACCTTTTTAGATGAATAGCTTCCCCTTATAATCCGAGAGGTTAGCCTTTAAAAGGATAATTACCTCGTTGCTGAATGAGTGCACGTTGCACTTTTTTGGGGGTACTGGAATCCCGTATTATGAACTCTGACCCTAAACCCTAAACCCTAAACCCTAAACCCTAAACCCTAAACCCTAAACAACTACGGACAACATTGCCTTCCTAAACCCTAAACCCTAAGCAACTAAGGACAATATTGCCTTCTACGACCCTGCAGTGACGGGATCAGGCCCAGCAGGCCCTGGCGGCTCCAGCGTATCGGCTGGGCTCGCCTCGGGTCCTCTCTGGGCCCTTGTTGCGTTCCTTCTGTCCTTCTTGCCTTAGGGTTTAGGGTTTAGGGTTTAGGGTTTAGGGTTTAGGGTTTAGGGTTTAGGGTTTAGGGTTTAGGGTTTAGGGTTTAGGGTTTAGGGTTTAGGATCGGCATGAAAGCACTTTTGGCACGTTGTTGCACCACGCCTTTTTCCACACGTGTGGACGCAGTCGGGGTGCTTGGATGGTTTTATGCACATCTCAGGCCCACATCCCCGATGTATATGCACTATTCCCATTTGAATTGATGAGTGCAGGCGCGATGCAAAATGACGATCCGTTTCGTAGTGGTGTCCTGGGGTTTGGGGCTCGTGTTTCAGCTCAAGGCATCCATGGCACAGTGAGGCTTGCTGAGTTCAATGCCCTAAACCCTAAACCCTAAACCCTAAACCCTAAACCCTAAACCCTAAACCCTATGCCTTTTATTTCCTCAAGCAGTGTGCCAAGACGATCGGCTTCCAACTGAACGACTTAAGGCCCTAAACCCTAAACCCTAAACCCTAAACTCTTAAGGCCCCAGGTTTCTAAGAACCCCTTAGCCCTGCAAGCTCAATAGGCCCCCGAAGATGCCCAACACACATACTGCACGTGACTCTCTCTCCCTTGGTAGCCCAGTGGTACGCTTTTACCCTAAACCCTAAACCCTAAACCCCAAACCCTAAACCCTAAATCCTAAACCGTGCTCTTGGTTCCCTTATAAAGTAACCAGCCAAAAAGAGGGTGCCCTTATTGTAAGATGGTTACGGGGCTATCAAGCTCCCCAAGAGCCTTGGGGTCAGGGACTTCCGCCTGGGCCGCGTGGGACGCCGGGGGCCGCAGAGAGCTGCCACCGAGACATGCACTTCTAGGACCTTTGGCTTCGTGGCCTTTAAGGGGGGTGTGGGTTTAGGGTTTAGGGTTTAGGGTCTAGGGTCTAGGGTTTAGGGTTTAAGGTTTAGGGTTTAGGGTTTCGGGTTTAGGGTTCAGGTTTAGGGTTTCGGGTTTAGGGTTTAGGGTTTAGTGTTTAGGGTTCAGGTTTAGGGTTTAGGGTTTAGGGTTCAGGGTTTAGGGTTTAGGGTTTAGGGTTTAGCGCGCTCAAGTTCAGGGCTTCGTGGCCTTTAAGGTGGGCTGGGGGTTCAGCCCCCGGTCTCTGGGCTGGAGATCTTTTTTGCCAGGCTGGGGCAGAAGCAGTTGACATGTTCTTTGTCATGGTGGGGGTAGCATTTTACATATTTCAGCGTACTTAAACACAGTAAGGAATCTGAATTCAGATTTTTTTGTACCATCCCAACTATGAGCTCGTGTTGAGAAGTGCCCAAACTCCTGAGGATGCAGGCAAAGGTTTCTCAGTCCCGGGAACTTGTCGGAGATGTCCAGGTGTGGGCTGCAATTTTGTTTGCAGTCGCTGTATTCTGATTTTCTGAGAAGCAATGAGACCTAAACCCTAGCCCCTAAACCCTAAACCCTCTACGCCTCTACCCTAAACCCTAATCCCTAGTCCCTCAACCCTAAACCCGATTCATCGATACTGCTTCGGATATCCTGTCGAGTCCCTTGCTTCCTAGCCCACTCGAGCCTTCGTCATAGCTCCCCCCTTTTCGGCCCTCAGCCCCAAACCTTCAACCCCCCACCCCCCCATATATCTCCCCTCTAAGGGAATATAGGTTCCCTTTTTGGGACCATATAGGGTAACCTCACTTCCTCATGCCTGTTTAGGGTTTAGGGTTTAGGGTTCAGGGTTTTTGAGACCCAAGCCCTGACCAAAGGGCCTCTGGCACGGCTTTGCCCAACCTTGTCCCGGGCGCATCATGGCTGCAGGGTGTTGGCGGTTTAGGGTTTAGGGGGGTTTAGGGTTTAGGATTTAGGGTTTAGGGTTTAGGGTTTAGGGTTTAGGGGCTGTAGGGTTTAGGGCTAAGGGGTTTCAGGGTTTGGGGTTTGGATCGTTGCTTTGTTGTGGAAGCTTTCTGCTTCAAGGGCTGCATCCTGCGCTGGTGGCCTTGAGGGTCGTGTAGGGTTCCAGGTTCAGGGTTTAGGGTTTAAGGTTTAGGGTTTAGGGTTTAGGGATACTTCCCCAAATCAGATGGCAAATCCGAATATAGTAACCCTACATTCTACTATACAGCCCTTTGGGTTAGGGTCTGGGGTGAACCCAACCGCATGTGATCAGAGCTTTCGAGATAGATTTGTCGGACCGGTCGCGCTTCGAACCACCTCCTTGGCGCTGGAAATCCCACGGACCTTAGGGGTTTAGGGGTTTAGGGGTTTAGGGGTTTAGGGGTTTAGGGGCTTAGGGGTTTAGGGGTTTAGGGGTTTAGGGGTTTAGGGGTTTAGGGGTTTAGGGGTTAGGGTTTAGGGTTTAGGGTTTAGGGTTTAGGGTTTACAGGGTTGAGGGTGTGCGCTGCCCAAGCCGCGAACAAGTCTTATTCAGGACCCTAAACCCTAAACCCTAAACCCTAAACCCTAAACCCTAAACCCTAAACCCTAAACCCAAAATAAGAACATAAACAAGAACATCCTAGCACAAACCTGAAAACCTGAGCCTTAAGCTTTGTAACCTTCGGGCATGCTTCGGCATGTAAACACTTAGAATAGGTTGCTAAACCCTAAACCCTAAACCCTAAACCCCCAAGCCTGAAGATGCTTCCCCAGAAGCCCCAAGACTCGCAACCTCTTCCACGCCAGGACGCCTAAGCCCAAACACCCCCGTAACCCCTTAAAAATCTCTGCGCCCTAAACCCTAAACCCTAAACCCTTAAACTCTGCAAAGACCCCACACCTCATACCCCAACTCCGAACCCCAAGCCCTCAACTTCTACACCCTAAACCCCAAAAAGCCCTAGAAACCCTATAAGCCCCATGAACCCATTTGCCTATAACCTCTACGAACCCTACAAACCTTGCAAACCCTAAAGCCCTAAACTACAAGCCCTAAATCCTACAAACCCTAAAAACCCTACAAACCCCAAACACCCCCAACAAAAACCCTGAACCCCCACCCTAAACCCCAAACCCTAAACCCCAAACCCTAAACCCTAAACCCTGAACCCCCTACGAAACTCTCTAAAGAGATGCCCAGGGTGCGGTCAAGGCCGCCCCCCCGAAGCCTCTGCGACTTGGGGCAAAATCCTGCGGTTTAGGGTTTAGGGTTTAGGGTTTAGGGTTTAGGGTTTAGGGTTTAGGGTTTAGGGTTTAGGGTTTAGGGTTTAGGGTTTGGGGTCTCAGTTCTTGGGTCCCTTGTTCATGGGTGCCCTAAATTGCGTGCGGGGGCCGCCTTAAGTAACCCACAAGGGACGAGAAGTGACTCGTGAAGTGACCATATCTGTTTAGGGTGAACTAAGGCTTTAGGGTTTAGGGTTTAGGGTTGTGGAGATTTAGGGTTTGGGGCTTGGGGGTTAGGGTTTAGGCTTTCGGGTTCAGGGTCTAGGGTTTGCGGCTTGGGTTGAGGCTCTGGGGGTGGTTGCTTTTGAGAGCGGTTCATAAGGGGGCGAATATCTTTGTGGTGCTTTACTGCAACTTTAGATCCTTAGCCTTTTTGGGTTTATTGGGGGGCTTAGTAAGGCAGTTAAAACTTCATTTTATGGCTACCCTCCTAAGTGCAGCCAAGATATGAGGGATAGGTTGCATTCGGTCTCACTTTGTGGGGTTTAGGGGTACCCTAAACCCTAAACCCTAAACCCTAAACCCTAAACCCTAAACCCTAAGGCTTGTGGGGGTACAGGTGCTTAGTTCGTGGCTTGGTGGTCTTGAGAATCTAAGGTAGTGCTCTGGGCCCTTATATGGTCCCCCACCACCCTGAAAAGGTATAGAAGGGGTCCCTTTTTTTAAGGGCCCATATCAAGGGACCATGTAACTAGCCCTCACCCTAAACCCTAAACCCTAAACCCTAAACCCTAAACCCTAAACCCTAAACCCTAAACCCTAAACCCTAAACCTAAACCCTCAGAGGGAAGCTGATCCCCCTACAGCGCGGCTGCAGCCTTGCGAGTTGGTGCTCGCTGCCTTGGGGATTGTAAAGGGTTAGCCCCAAGGAGTTTACGGGTTTAGGGTTTAGGGTTTAGGGTTTAGGGTTTGGGGTTTAGGGTTTAGGGTTCAGGGTTTAGGGTTGAGGGACTGCAAGGGATTATTTCCAAGGGCTTCTGAGGCTTAATCAGGCTTACCGGGCAAGCGGGAAGACCATGCATTCCCAGGCCTTCCGTAAGCCCTAAACCCTAAACCCTAAACCCTAAACCCTAAACCCCAAACCCCAAACCGCATTCGTGTCTAGGTCGCAAGCTGTTGGTCATCTGCCGCAGCAGGCGCGTCACTGCTTCCTGTAGTCTCTTTGGAAGGCGGTATATGGGTAGTTCGCTAGAAAATGGCCACTTTTTGGGGTGAATCATAATGATGCAAGCATCATGAAGGTGTGCATGGTCCGTCGATGTGTGTGCGAACCTTGTGGCCAACAAATGGCTCGACGAAACCAAAACGTTTCAACGGAGCTGGACGAACCTTTCGCCCGACTGTTGGGTTCGAGACAACACCGGCAGTACCACCGCGAACTGCCACGAATCCCCACGTCACGAACCCCGGGAGGGCTTGCCAACATAAGGGATTGGGGTTTAGGGTTTAGGGTTTAGGGTTTAGGGTTTAGGGTTTAGGGTTTAGAACACCCTAAACCCTAAACCCTAAACCCTAAACCCTAAACCCTAAACCCTAAACCCTAAACCCTAAACCCTAAACCCTAAACCCTAAACCCTAAACCCTACGCAAAGAGTTAGGGTTCGCCAGGGGCTCGGGACCAAAATTGCCGAAAAGGTTGGGAGCGGTTCCTGGGACTTGTTGGGCTTCGTAGGGGTTTCCTGTCTCAAGTGGTTTAGGGTTTAGGGTTTAGGGTTTAGGGTTTAGGGTTTAGGGTTTAGGGTCTAAGCAGAATTGGCAGAGCGTTTGTGGATCGACAAAGTCTGCAAACTAGCCAGTGTCTCTGCAAAGGCCTGAATGGAGTTTTCCATTGTTTTGATGGAATTCTGCAGCCTATAGAATGTTCATAGCATCGCGAACAAAACTTCTGTGCAACACATGTATGGGAACACATGATCTCATGTGCCCCCACAACCATTTAGCTACTGTGTCGAGCGTTCAGCCGCTTAAGGCGTCAATGACCGGCCGTAGTAGGACTTTCAAAACACGCCAACAAGTACTGGCAGTAGCAGTACTGATATTCAGGCCATGAACCACAACCTTGAGAACCAAATCAACCCTAAAAGGTTTTATGATCCATATACCTTAGTATATTTGCATTGGGTCTATGACCCCAACTATAGGGTTCATCTGGTCCCTAAACCCTAAACCCTAAACCCTAAACCCTAAACCCTAAACCCTAAACCCTAAACCCCCACAAGGAAGAAGGTTTTTTTTTTTTTCCATGGCTTCTGTTGGGACGTTAACCCTTTTTCTAACAGTCCTTAATAGGGATTATCATAGGGGTACGATAATCCCGATTAAGACTGTCAGTATCAGGGGAACATCCCAAGGCTTGTGGGTACGTAGGGTTTAGGGGTCGTCTGGGATTGAAGGTTTAGGGGTTTCTAGGATTTAGGAGGATTTAGGGTTTATAGGGTTTCCAGGAGGGTTTCTAGGATTTAGGGTTTGTAGGGTTTTCTAGGATTTGGGGTTTGTAGGGTTTCTAGGATTCAGGCGATATAAGGATTGCGGGTTCAGGGTAGGCTCCCTCAAATCCCCCAGGCACGGCCAGCGGCGCCAATGCCCCCACAGCGAGGACGCCACTGTCAGTGTCCACTGAGGATAACGTACCTACGCAGGGTTTAGGGTTTAGGGTTTAGGGTTTAGGGTTTAGGGTTTAGGGTTTACAGTTTAGGGTTTAGGGTTTCGGGTTTGGGGTTTAGGGTTTAGGGTTGAGGGTTTAGGGTTTAGGACACCTGGGCCCTACAGCTACTGTATGGGAGCCACTTTAAGGCTCAAGCTTTTTTCTATATGGGTACATGGCCCCCTTAGCGGCAGCAGCACTGCTGTCCTGGGCTGTTACACGTAGCAGACGCGGCAGACATCTCTGGTCTTCCGATGCCTTTTTCGCCTTTAAGTAAGCCCAAAAACCCTAGGCCCTAGACCCGGCTTCCAACTTCGTGAGCCCCTTTTAAGCCCGAGAGGGCCCTCTCGTTTCGAGGAACTGGCTTAAATCCCCCCAAAGCCGTGCTTTAGGGCGTTAAAACGGGGTTTGAGGTGGGCTCTCTTTGGCTACAACAGCTGATCCTTCTGAAAGGCATGTGAATGTGGATATTCGGTTGCAATCACTACCTACGCTACTTTCGAGTTGCCGACCGGCATTTTAGAAGGTTCCCGTTTATCCCTGGGTCGACGACCTGTTGCACGGCATGGATATATAACCCTAAACCCTAAACCCTAACCCTTAACCCTAAACCCTAATATATATGGGGGGGGAACATCCCGACCTACCTGTGCTGTTCATTTTTTGGAAGCAGAGGAGGATGGTTCGGGGGTGTGTGGGCCACAGGCAGTGCTACCAAGTGCTTAAGAACCCCCACCCCCCAAAAAAGTGAAAATGCTCTTCCTTATAAGGGAAATCTAGGGAGTATGTTTCTTCATTTTTTGGGCTGTGACCCTAAACCCTAAACCCTAAACCCTAAACCCTAAACCCTAAACCCTAAACCCTAAACCCTAAACCCTAAACCCTAAACCCTAAACCAGTTGGCAGGGGCTGGCAGCGAAGTGAATGGCCAGCGTCGCACTCGGATTGGCGTCCCTGCTTGTAGGGTTTAGGGTGTAGGGTGTAGGGTTTAGGGTTTAGGGTTTAGGGTTTTAGGGGTTCAAGGGTTTAGGGTTCAAGGGTTACTTGTAGGGTTTAGGGTTAGGGTTTAGGGTTTAGGGTTTAGGGTTTAGGGTTTAGGGTTTAGGGTTTAGGGTTTAGGGTTTAGGGTTTAGGGTTTAGGGTTTAGGGTTTAGGGTTTAGGGTTTAGGGTTAGGGTTTAGGGTTTAGGGTTTAGGGTTTAGGGTTTAGGGTTTAGGGGCCAGAGATCCGAGCAAAAAACTGTCACTGGTGTAGAGAGCCTTTAACCTTCTGGGGTATATACACTCCTACCCTCTTGAAAGGCTAACACCTTTTCTGGCCCAGGTTACTCAGCAACTAGGTCAAGGCACCCAAATGCTGAAACCCTGAACGCTGCCGGCAGAAACCGACACGAGGTCTTCAGCTGATCCGCGTGCCCTGATGGCTGCGGCAGCAGCGCGCGTGCCTCAGACATCCGAAGAAGCTCCCTGGACTCGGCCCGGCTTGGAGGTTTAGGGTTCGGGGTTTAGGGTTTAGTTCGGGCTTAGGGTTTAGGGTTTTAGGGCTTAGGGTTTAGGGTTTAGGGTTTAGGGCTACTTGGAGGTACATTCGTAGGTATAAGTAGGATTGTAAGTACCCGAAGTCGGCCAATAAGTATACTTACCATACCTATAGCCCTACTTCTAATTAGTCTACTACCCATGAACCTGCAAGTAGACTTTGACGGAATTCTGTCGGGCGAGCTGGGTCCTGTGCACAGTTGAGGCAGACTATAGGGGTCGGAATAACTACGAACAGTATTCCCTTATGGTCCCTAAATTATGTAATGACCCCCAAAACGCATTCTAATCATATAGGCCCCTATATTACACCTTTTCGTGTCCAAAGCAGTTGGCTTTTGGTGCGTGGTCTTAGAGCTTTCGGGTCTAAGTCTAGGGTTCAACGTTTAGGGTCTGGCACACTTTTTGGGGTAATCTTTGAATGGTCTTGGGTACACCCTGCATATGTTTGGTAGAACACGGGAAAGAAGGACAAACCTTCGTCATCAGGTGTGCACCCACGCAGAGACACACCAGGCGCACAGAGACGCACAGCAGACACCCTAAACCCTAAACCCTAAACCCTAAACCCTAAACCCGGCCGAGGCAGCTCCTAAAGCACCAGCAAGCCACAGGTTCCCCCCGCTTTTTGAGGGCGTGCCACGGGCTTCGGGATCTGGGTGTTTGTTTACGATATGAGGGTTTAGGGTTTAGGGTTTAGGGTTTAGGGTTTAGGGTTTAGGTTTTGGGGTGCTTAAGAACAGGAGATGTTGGGTGGCGAGCCCAAAAACTAGACGGACATGTTGGGTGGCAAGCCCGAAACCCTAAAGGGAGGTGTTGCCTGGCCACAGATTCAGGTTGGACAATACAATCCTTGGGAATGAACGTCATGGCTACAGTTCATGATTTGAAACAGTTTCGTGAAAGACACTAAGCAGTGGCGAAAGTGATGTCACCCTAAACCCTAAACCCTAAATCCTAAACCCTAAACCCTTGTAAATGTTTTTGACCGAGGGCCTGCCAAGAGTTTGGTTTCCCTAAGGTCCATGTACCTGTGTAGTATATACTTGGGCACGAAAGCTACTATACAGGAACCTCTTTAAGTGCTAAGCTTCTACCATATAGGCATATGGGCCCTCTGCCCTAAACCCTGAACCCTAAACCCTAAACCCTGATCTCGGGGACGTTGCCAGGTGGGAGCTGACTGACACGGAGCGTGGACGGCGCAGCTCTATGGGTTCCAGAAAGGAACAAAAGAGAGTCAAAGGGTTTAGGGTTTGGGGTTTAGGGTTTAACCCTGTATAAACCTTAAGCCCTAAACCCTATATAAACCTTAAACCCTAAACCCTAAATTGTGCTCGAAGGATCAGGGTTGAGATCCGATTCTGACGAAAGCATGCCCCCCAGAGGTCACAGATAAGGGCGCCTTCTTGAAGCATCGGCCGTATAAGGTCGGGCGAGTCGCACAATATACTTGGGCCTTAGAGGGTTTGGGGTATAGGGTTTTGGGTTTAGGGTTTTTGGTTTAGGGTTTAGGGCAAAGGGTCCATGTACCTATATGGTATGTGCTTGTATACTTGTGTCTTACATGGGTTCCTGCATAGTCGCTTTAGGTCCCAAGTATGTACTATGCAGGTACATGGACCCTTAGGGAAAACAAACCCTAGTCACAACCCGCAGCATCGGCCATGAGCGATAGGGCGAAGCCACGTAGGCTTCTATGGTTTGCGGATTAGGGTTTAGGGTTTAGGGTTTAGGCTTAGGGTTTAGGGTTTAGGGTTTAGGGTTCGTGATATGAGGCACCCGGTCGGATCGCCGTTTGAAGCATGGGATCTCGGTAGGAATGCCCTTTCCCGAACTTCGAAACCTCACAGTGCTCCGTCTGATCTAGCGCGTCTGAAGGCGATGATCCCATAAGCCTATATAGACTCAAAACCGGCCGGATCTTGAGCGCAATTCCTATTACCCTGAACCTGAACACCCTAAACCCCTAGACCATAAACCCTAAAGACCCGAACCCCCAACCTAAACCCTAAACCCTACACCCCTAAGCTTGAGAACCCTGGACCCTGACTCCTACTGGCGTTTAGCCCTGTGGACCCTCTTGGTCCTCCGAGCCTCACAAAATGCAAGGCCGCTAAGCCATGTAAGTCCTGGAAGCCCTTCAAACCCTAAACCCCAACAAAATCGAAACCCTCAACGTTCAAATCCCTCAAGCCCCTAAACCCTAAACCCTAAACCCTAAACCCTGAACCCTAAACCCTAAACCCTAAACCCTAAACCCTAAACCCTAAACCCTAAACCCTAAACCCTAAACCCTAAACCCTAAACCCTAAACCCTAAACCCTAAACCCTAAACCCTAAGCGCAAGCCATAAGTCGGTCAAACGCCATGAGAATGGCGATCCATGGCCGCGGCGCGATTGGGCAAGGCCAGGAGTCGCGCCAGAATGACCGGTTTAGGGTTTAGGGTTTAGGGTTTAGGTTTAGGGTTTAGGGTTTTGGGTTTAGGGTTTTGGGTTTGAAAGTTAAATACGATGCGGTGAGCTTCCTATCAATGCATGTCAAATTACATTTAGAAGGTGCACATCGATCGATCCCTATGCATATTTCGGGGACTACCGCTACTTACAAAGCATTGTAAAATCATCTTTATCTAGATTCTCATGTCTTCGAAGCCGGTTAGCCCTAAATCCTCAACCCTCAAACCCAAACCCCCAAACCCTAAACCCTAAGCCCTAAACCCCAAAAACCCAAACCACAAAACCCAAACCCTAAACCCTAAACCCTGAACCCCAAACCCTAAACCCTAAACCCTAAACCCTAAACCCCAAACCCTAGGGGTCCTCCAGGCCTCGCTTCGTCTTGCGGGCGCATGCGGGAGCCTCGCCGTCGCTTGCGCAAGTCGCTGGCTCGGCTGGGTCTGGGGTTTGGGGGTTTTGGGTTTAGGAATTTCGAGTTTAGGGTTTTGGGTTCAGGGTTCAGGGGTTAGGGTTTAGGGTTTATAAGGTTTAGGGTTTAGGGTTTAGGGTTTAGGGTTTAGGGTTCAGGGTTCAGGGTTCAGGGTTCAGGGTTCAGGGTTGAGGGTTCAGGGTTTGTTTAGGGTTTAAGGGATAGGAGATGTTCAGAGTGCTTTAGAGGGCTTAGAGGGCTCAGAGGTTTAGAGGGTTTAGGGTGCTTAGAGTGTTCAGAGTTCAGAGGGTTTAGATGTGTTGGTGGTTTAGAGGGTTCAGAGGGTTCAGGGCTTTACAGGCTTTAGTAGGGCGAGATTGCAAGGGGCGATCAGATCAATTACAGGTGTCCATAAGAAACTAACTTAAAGCCGCAGGAGCCGCAGCCGCAACCGCTAGCACAACTATACTTCTACACCGGTTTAGGGTTTAGGGTTTAGGGTTCTGGGTTTAGGGTTTAGGGTTTAGGGGTACATGATGCCGAGAAAACAGACCTTCGCATCTCGGGGGGGTGCCTCAAGAAAATTTTTGGGACATTGCAAGAGCGGAACAAAAGCCGATGGGGACATACAGATCAACAGGTTCGATTCCGTCAATCTGCCGATTTATTTTTTTTTATCTCTCTTTCTCTCTCTCTCTCTCTTCATGCCCCTCCCGAAGCTTGCGCCCTAGCCCATATACACTCACTCCCCTTCGTGCCAGCAGCCTCATCAAGCCAGACTCTGCAATCGTTGTTCGGACCTCTTTGCAACTCTCGAGCTGTACTTCGTGCCAGGTTATCTCACGAATTCGGAGGCCTCTTCAGGCCGTCGCTGTTTGTGGGGCATCTAAGGCAGAAGGTGGTTCTTCAGAGCTTGTGCTTCTTCACGGGGTGCACAAAAGGGCGAGAGTATGTGTTCAACCTATCATGGTTGTCCTATGCTGTTTTATGACTCAAAATACGGATGATTGTCCATTGCGTACTAAACATCAGTTTGGTGTTTGGTTGGTGAAGATAGCTCTTTCCCAAGGGAGTCCTGCCATCCTCGGCGCCTGAAAGGGCTTCTGGGTGTTAGGGCCCTAAACCCTAAATCCTAAACCCTAAACCCTAAGGTACCTGCTTCAGGCCATCGGCTTCCTTCCGACCGCCCGAAGGGGGTACCGTACTCCACGGGCGGCAATGTAGCACATGTGGGGGGTTTCCGAAATCAGGGGTGATAAGGGAGTCCTACTATTTGGGGTCCCTTGTTTTCGAAAACCCCGCCTTTTTGTTGTTTTTTGGCTTTGCCGTTCAATTGCAGCCTTGGACGAGCGATCGGCAGGAGTATCTAGGCTGTCTGCCGGCCTCCGGAGCTTCCTGGCGCCCTGCCCGGCCCGAAAACCGCGGTTTCAATCCAGTTCAAGCTGGCACTTCTTTACCCTAAGCCCTAAACCCTAAACCCTAAACCCTAAACTCTAAACCCTAAATCCTGTACATGAATTACATGAAGTTACATATCTCCAGAGCTAAACGAGCTGAGGTTGGCACAACTGAGCCCCTCACTCCGAAGCCATTGGCTCTGCAGGGTTTAGGGTTTAGGGTTTAGGGTTTAGGGTTTAGGGTTTAGGGTCTACAAAGCCTGAGCCGAAGACCGGTCGCGAGCAATCTTTTTTTTGGTCTTTTGGACAGCTCTGAAATGATCTTGATCATTGAACCCTAAACACAATCCCTCGTCCACCCACGGATAAAAGGTGTGACAATTTTAACTTTGACCTTGACCGAAGCCCTAAACCCTGCACTCTTGACCCTGTGTTTTTTACAGGTATTCCCGTCCAGCACCTAACTTCCACGCTTGGAGCCCAGATTAGCGAAGAGTCGCATTTGCATTGTATGTACAAGGCCTAAAGTCTTTCGGGTTCAGGTTCAGGGTTTAACACCCATTTCCTACAAAAAGGGTGCTTAAGACGATCGGGCAGATGCTGTCCCTCTAACTTCCGCTCCCCCGCCCCCTCCCCAAGCAAAAGAACACAATACTCCAACTTTTTGTAAACGGAAAACCCCCCCCCCCCCCCCTCAGAAGGGTATTTTCGGAAGCTCCCATCTTGTGGGAAACCCACAACCCCAAAACCCTAAAACCCTGAAACCCTGAAACCCTAAAACCCTACAACTCCAAAAACCTAAACCCGAAAACCCCGAAAACCCCAAAAACCCTAAAACCCCAAAACCCGCCAACCCTGCAACCCTAAACCCTAAGCCCTAAACCCCAAACCCTAAACCTTGAACCCTAAACCCTAAACCCTAAACCCTAAACCCTAAACCCTAAATCCACCGAAGCATCCAAGCAAGGCCGGGCGACTCACTTCCGCCCAGAGCAGCTGCCGTGCTGCTGGACGGCAGGTGACACCAACGGGGTTTAGGGTTTAGGGTTTAGGGTTTTGGTTTAGGGTTTAGGGTTTAGGGTTTAGGGTTTAGGGTTTAGGGTTTAGGGTTTAGGGTTTAGGGTTTAGGGTTTAGGGTTTAGGGTTTAGGGTGAGGGGGCTTGTGAGGTGTCGGGTTTGGGGAGTGGCATCACGCTGGAACCTCGAATTTAGCTGGGCCACTGAGTTCCAGAATCCGGAAAACTCTGCCCTCATTCCCTCAACCCAAACCTAAACCGTAAAACCCTAAAGCCCTAAAGCCGTAAAACCCTAAAGCCCTAAAACCCTAAAGCCCTAAGCCCTAAGCCTTCTCGCGCTGCAGAGGCGTCACGGCTTCAGCAGTCTGGCAGACCTGCGCTCACTGTGCGACCGCATCGACATTGATGGCTGGGTCCGCAGGGTGCCTCAGGCTGTGGGACTTCGGTGCTCTAGGGTTTGAGGATGAAAAGGCAGGCATTAGGGTTTAGGGTTTAGGGTTTAACGGTTCTTGTACGTCCATAGCAGGTTTAGAGATGGGTAGAGTTGGTGGTTTCAGAGAGGACTGAGGGCTGCCAGGACCCCCCCCCCCCCCCCCCCGCGCTACTTTTTTAAATTGGGGAGGGAAAAATCCCAGCCGCAACAGCCTTCCCTAAGTGTTTAGGGTGTAGGTTTTTAGGGCTTTGGGCTTGGGAGCGCCTCTGCTGTTTTTTGAGCCCCAGAGACCCTGGGCTAAGCATCACGGGTTGCATCACGGGCTCCGTCTGCTTGGCAGTGTAAGCCCTAAACCCTAAACACTAATTTGTATCTAAAGATGTACATATATATATATATATACATATATGTATATACATAAATATATATGTAACCATCAATTAGTTGGGCATGATAGGTTCTGACTTCTTGGCAGCAGCTGGAACGCCTGAGCGCCAGGACTTCGAATTTGTTGATTCGAGGTACCGGGTGTGGGGTTTCGGGACCCAAGCCCTGCACCCCCCAAAACCCCCAGAACGCCTAAACCCAAGACTCCAAATCTTAAGATCCCGCCAGATAATCCCGAGACCCCAATAATCCAAAAACCCTGAAATTCCTAACCTAACCTCCCGAAACCCTGTAACCATAAAGCCCCTTAACGCTCTGTTGTCAAGAGTAGAAGCCTATTCAAGACAGCCTTGCATGTGTGCATGCAGGAAGATGACAGTGCTGCATTCGCAGCCCCTTTCCCAGCCAAGCTCAGACCAGCGACAGCAGTTCAAAAGGTCTGTGTGCTAGTGTGGTTGTTAACGGTTCATAAGTCCTCTTCAGCCCGCGCCTGCTTTTTGCATGGTAGCGGAGCGGCTCTGACCCAGGGAGCTGCTCGGACAAGGAGGTTGCCTTCGAGGCACCCCTTGCAGCCAGGTGGTTGCGCCCTGCGCACCCCTGGCAGCCTGTGGTCAACACGGGCAAGGGCTGGGGCAAACCCAGCAAAGGAGCCCAGAAGGGCAAGAAAGGACCAGGCCGGTCAAGGTCTGAAAGGCAGGGCCAGAGAGCCCAAGGAGATCGTGGACGAGATCGCCCTGCTGGTGAGCCGGACCAGCAGATCCAGGCAAAGGCAAAGAAGAGGCCGAACAAGAAGAAAAGGAGAGGAGGAAGGTCGGACAAGGCCTTGTTGAGGAGAAGCCACCAAGGCTTTAGCGAAGCAGCAGAGGAGTTAGTGACGAGGACAGCCCAGGCAAAGCCGAAACCAAAGAAGCGGTACAGGCTGAGGATCACCCCGAAGATCGAGAGGTTGAGGGAAGAGTGGCCCCGGCTTAGCTTCAGTGAAAGGACTGCTCGAAAGACAGAACTTCGCAAATCGGGTCTTATCCCGCCTGGGTCCGTTGGAGAACACATCGTCCGGGAGTTTGCGGAGGCTTGCGACACTTGCGACGAGCGAACAAAGAAGCAGCGTGAGCCAACTCTCCTTGCAGCCAGTCGGGCTGTGAAGAGGCAGATCCGTGCGCTTCGTCTGAGGAAAGAGGAGAAGAAGGAAAAGAAGAATAGAAGAAAGAAGCGGCAGCCACTTCTCACCGAGGACGAGGCGGACGACGAAGGCCAGGGTGACGAGGAGTCGGATCCTGACGGTGATCACCGTTCTCTTGGTGGTCGCCATGGAGGCTTTGATCCAGGAGCTCCGGGCACAGTTGCAGCAGTCAGGTGAAGCCATGGCTGCAATGCAACAGCAGATGCTGGTGCAAGGCCAGCAGCTGCAGGAGCTACGGGAAGCTCAGGCCGCCAGTTCAAGTGTGGCTCAGGCACCAGTGAGCCCACCGGCCCAGGTTGCTGCTACAGCGCCGGGTCAGGGAGGTGTCTTTGGGCTGCTCCCCTTGGTGGACACAAGAGGGCTCGGAAAGCCTGAGGTGTTTAAAGGAGATCCAGCAACCTTCAACGACTGGGTCTTCATCCTTCGGAGCTACATGGGGGCGATGGACAGGAGGTACCAAGCCTTACTCCAGAAGGCCGAGTCGTCGGAAATCCAACTTTGGAACCGACTTCTCACTGAGGAGGAGCAAGGGCTGTCGACTCAGCTCTACTACGTCCTGGTGATGCTCTGCCGGGGACGTGCGCTGGACAAGCTGCACAACTGTGGGGACAATGAAGGTGTCGAGGCCTATCGGCAGCTCTACTTGGAGTACAACCCGAAGCTCAACTCCAGATATGTGGGTCTGCTCCTGGAGATCCTGCGCTACAAGTTCGAAGGGGATTTGGTCAGTTGCATCGAGTCCTTTGAGCGCAAGGTGAGGGAGTACGAGAAGCAGTCTGGGAAGGACGTGGACGACGAAACCGTCATCGGGATTGTCATTCTGGGAGTGGAAGACCAGACGGTCAAGGAGCACCTCATTAGGCACTCATCCAGGCTTGACACCTGGAAGAAGATGAGAGCGGAGATCATGGAGATTGCCCGCACGCAGAAGTACTTGCAAAGCACGCCTCAACCGATGGACGTAGGAGGCCTACCAAAGAAGCCGCATAAGGGTTCCCCGAAGGGCGCCAAGGGTGATGGAAAAGGCGACAAGGGCAAGAGCACCGGCAAGGACGCTGGCGGAAAGAAGGATGGAGACAAAGGAGGCAAGGGCGACAAGAAGAAGGGCCCGTGCTTCTACTGTCAGAAACCCGGCCACACAAAGGCCGAGTGCAGGAAGCGAGCCGCGGACTTGAAAAAGGCCGAGAACAAAGGTAGGACGGCTGCAGCAGCCCCGGAAACCCAAGAGGAGCCCGAAAGTGAAGGCCTAGCAGCCTCAACCTTGTGTGTTGCAACTGTAGCAAACCCTGAAACCCACTGTAGGATCCTTGTAGACACGGGGGCTGGGGGTGGTTTGGCTCCGGTTGGCTTTGACAACAAGAGGTTGCAGGTGACAGGGTCCGCATGAACACGGTCACGGGAGAAGCCTTGGAATTGGGTAAGTGCAAGACTTCGTCGCTCAAGCATGGGGATGTGCCAGTTGAGTTTAACTACAGGGAAAGCAACAGCGTCCAGTTTCCTGTTATCTCCATGTCAGAAGCCAGTCAGAAGGGAACCTGGTTGGTGGTAGGGCCCTCGCACCAATTCCTCGTAGGTCGCTGTGGTGGTGAGCAACTCAAGAAAGCTTTGAAGGAAGTCCCAAAAGTTCCTTTAGTGAAGGATAAAGGTGTCTACTGGTTGGAAGCGACTATGGGTAAGCCCCAGAACCCTGAAAGGCATAGGATCGCAGCTCCAACAGCTCGGGAAGCCAGACCGGAGGTAGCGCATAGCGCCCCGGGAGTGGAGGTAGCTGACAGCGCCCCACCTGCCCAGGTGGATGCGAGGCCTCTTGGCGACGCTCCCCTGGAAGAGCCGCCTGAACCTGAAGGAGAGGCCGGGCGTAAGGCTAAGCACAAGAAGGTACCCCCGAGTGTCAGTGCTGAGATGCGTGCTGAACACGAGTTAACACACCTTCCATTTCGGAGTTGGTGTGAGTCTTGCGTGGTGGGGAAGGGCACCAAAGACTTCCATCAAAGGCGCCAAGAAGAAAAGAAAGAGGACGTAGCAAGGTACTGTATCGACTACTGCTTCTTCACGAAAGCCTTGTCCCAGGAAGCAGCTTCCACTGACGCCAAGGACATCCTCGAGGCCAAAGCTGGTGCCAAGGCCGTTTTGGTTTGCAGGGACCAAAAGTCAGGGGCTCTGTTTACGGGTGTAGCTAACAGCAAGGGCACCGGGGATCCGTATTCCATGGCTTTTGCGCTAGAAGGGATGAAGTTCTGTGGTCACCCAGACATGATAGTTGTTAGCGATACTGAGCCAGCTATCAAAAGTTTAGGTGAAGAACTTGTTAAGAGGTACCCCAAGAAAGCAAGCAGTCAACCAGTGCCCAAAGGAGACCACAAGGCCAACGGTGCAGCTGAGCGAGCTGTGCTGGAACTTAGCAACCAAGTCAGGACCCTTAAGGTAGCCTTTGAACAAAGGTACCCCACCATTAAGGTCACAGAGGACTCGCTCGTGTTTCCTTGGATGGTTCGTCACGCAGGATGGCTTTGTACAAGGTATGGCATCAAGCATGACGGTCGTACAGCCTACGAGAGGCTTCGGGGTAGGACCTACAAGGGCGAAGTTGTTGAGTTTGGAGAGGTCGTTCTGTTCCGTATTTCGAATCAGAACTTAAGAAAGCTTGAGGATCGTTGGTCATGTGGGGTTTGGCTAGGCAAAAGTTTGAGCAACGATGAGCACTTCGTGGCAACAGCCAACGGCATCCAGAGGTGTCGCTCGGTTCGTAGGCGAGTTGAGGCCAAGCGCTTTGACCCCACGTTTGTTCTGAGGATGGTAGGCACACCTTGGCAGCCTCGAGGCACGCCAGAAAGGACCCCCGATGCTCCGGGAAGACCCTTGCCAGCTGGAAGGTTGGAGGGTGTAGTGCCTAAACCTCGTGGTGTGTACATCACGGTTGAAAGACAGATCAAGCATGGTAGGACACCAGGCTGCCCTGGGTGCGATACCTTTTTTTCGGTGACGCCCCAGTCAAGCACAATGCCACGTGCAGAGCCAGGTTTGAAAAGCTGTGCAGGGAACCTGTGGTTGCGGAAACGGCGCCCGGGGACGACACAGTTGAGCCATCAAGCAATGGAGGGGATGATCCGATGGGTGCCGGCCCTGGCCCCTCGGATAAGCAGGCAAGTTCAGAGGCCGCGGGTAGTCGCGCCTCTGGGTCTGGCTCGGTGGCTGCCGGTTCTGGCGCCCCGAGTGAAAGAAAGCGAGGTGGGTTGGACCTTAGCGACAGCCCCCTCAAGGAGGCCAGGACCTCGGAACCTGCTCGGGCCTCAGACAGCCCAAGGTCCCCTAGCAGAAAGCGTGAAGCGGAAGGCAAACCGGAGGAGGTTGAAGAAGAAATGGTGGCAGGATTGCCAACAATGCACACGTGGCGGCCATGGTGATCAGTGACAGAATGATCGCATCAGCAGCGAAGGAGCTCGAGAAACCGGTCTACGATGAGAAGACTGGAAAGTTGCTGGACCCCGAGAAGGTGAAGATCGGGAGGATGAAAGAGATGACCAAGATGGAGTCCTTTGGAGTCAAAGGCGACATCACATATGATGAAGCCAAGGCGAAGGGGCTCAGACTGGTGAAATCCAGGTGGATCGACACCGAGAAGGAGATCGAAGGGAAGCCTGGAGTCAGGAGTCGCTTGGTCGCTCAGGAAGTGAACACTTACAAGCGAGAAGATGTATCGATGGGAACGCCTCCCATTCGAGTGCATCGAGCTGTGATTTCGCACGCAGCCACAGCGAGGCCCGGTGAGAGCAAGAGCAAGAAGCTGATCGGAAGATATGATGTGAGCGTGGCCTTCTTCCACGCCGACAACAGCGAAAAGATTGGGGTAATACCCCCGGCGTCAGAAGGAACTCCCAACATCATCTGGGAGTTGCACAAGGCGATGAACGGAACCCGGGAAGCCTCTAGGCAATGGGGAGTGAAGATCCGTGAGGTGAAAACAAGACACAACTTCGACGAGCTGCTGTTGTGCCCCAACACCTACTACTTGAAAGAGCATGATCTATGCTTGTCGTGCCACGGTGACGATTTCCTGGCGAGTGGAGAAAGAGAAGCTCTCGACATGCTGGACAAGATCATGGAGGAGAACTACGAGGTGAAAGTGCTACCGAGAATCGGTGACCCAGCTCATGGAGGGGAAGTCTCAGAAGGACGCCATCTTGGGCGCCTGATCAAGTGGACAGGCTCAGGATTTACCTGGGAATGCGACCCCAAGTTTGCCCCACAAGTCATCGAGGAACTCGAGCTAAAAGGGTGCAAAGGAGTTGACACTCCTGCTTCGAAGGCCACAGGCGTGGGAAACAGAGAAGTGGAGAAGGAGCTCAGCCGTGAGAGGGCCGAGGTCTTCAGACGAGTGACTGGCACCATCCTTTACATGGCAGTCGACCGTCCCTCGTTGCAGTACGCAGCAAGTGAACTGGCTGAAGGGATGAGCAAGCCCTTGGAGATTCATTGGCTAAGGCTGAAGCGCGTCGGAAAGTACATTGCCAAGTACCCCGTCGAGAAATGGCACTTCGAATTGCAAGAAGCACCTGCGCAGCTAGAGTCCTTTTCAGACTCAGACTGGGCAACAGATCGCAGAACCAGAAGGTCTATGAGTTCCACGTATCAGAGGTTTGGGAAGCACCTCCTAGACACGAGTTGTGGTCGACAAAGTCTCGTGGCCCTATCGTCGGGCGAGGCCGAGTTCTATGCCATGGTCAAGACAGCAGCAGAAGGAAAGCTTACAACAGAGATCCTCCGACACTTTGGTTGGAAGGTCGAGCACCGAGTGCTGAGCGATAGCTCGGCCGCCAGGTCGATGGCACAGAGGGTAGGGTGTGGAAAAGTCAAGCACTTATCCCTGAAGGAGATGTGGATACAGCAAGCAGTTCGAAACAAAGAACTTTCCATAGGCAAAGTGGATACGCTCATGAACATCTCGGATCTTGGCACGAAGGCTTTAGAAGCAGCCAGAATGGACTCGCTGATGAAGCAGCTGCCCTTGGAAAGGGGCATCGTGGCAGCTGTGGTCAGCTGCTGTTTGGAGAAAGTCCAAGCAGCTCCAGTTCAGAGTGAAGAGGTCTGGTGGTTGAACCTTTACTTAGGGTTGGTTCACCTGTTGGCCTTGGTTGGGTTGCTGTTTGCCAGCTACAAGGGAGTTGAAGTGCTTTTGAAAGGTTGGCACTGGTTGTGTGGAAGGGGCAATAGGCCCAGTGTAGCGCAGTCCAGTGCAGCCATGGCACTCAGTCGTCGTGACACTCCTCGTGGCAGCGGTGCTGAGGAGGCTCAACACAGTGCAGAGGTTCCTACAACACGGATGCCATCTGTCCCCGAGGGAACCTCCGTGCTGAGATCCCCTGCTGGACAGAGTGACAGTGACAGGATGAGTTTCCGTGGTGACGCCAGAACTGGTGTCGACGATCGAGTCAGAGTGGTGAGAGATACCTTGAGCCTGCTCACGGTGGAAGAACTCAAGAGTGGCCTACGAGTGGAAGGGCTCCAGGTGACAGGGTTGAAGCAAGACCTGATGGAGCGACTTCTGCACAAGTTCGATGGTGGAGATGAATCGCTGTCGGACCGGCCAAGCACCAAGCAGCTGAGGTATGTGCTCTACATCCATCGTCATCGAGCCCAATGCCGAATTCAGTATGAGAATCTTCGGACTCGTGAAGAGACTTCGAAGTGGATCGCCAACTGGAAGGTCTGAGTGGATCTCGACCTAGGTTGAAGGCCAGTGACCCTCTACGTGAGACGGGCTGGCAACTGCGTGACTCCTGGGAACAGTGAGCCGAAGCTGGGAGTGAGACAGCATGAATAGGCAGGTCCAGTAGCAACAGGCCAAGGTACCTGGCCAGTTCCTCCTGTGGAGGGGTGTCAAGAGTAGAAGCCTATTCAAGACAGCCTTGCATGTGTGCATGCAGGAAGATGACAGTGCTGCATTCGCAGCCCCTTTCCCAGCCAAGCTCAGACCAGCGACAGCAGTTCAAAAGGTCTGTGTGCTAGTGTGGTTGTTAACGGTTCATAAGTCCTCTTCAGCCCGCGCCTGCTTTTTGCATCTGTCCCCGAAAATCCCTAAACCCCAGAACGTCCTAAACTCTACAAAGTGTATTCTTCGAATCCCTACCCAGAACTCCGAGAACCTTACCCCCTAGCCCTGGCCTGCGAGACCCTTGGTTCGCGAACACACCGGCCATGTTTGGCAAGCAGCCTAAACCCAGCAGCACCAAAAACAGCTCAAAACCTAAACGCCCTAAGCTCTCCCAAAACCCTAAAAACGTAAAACACTGAAATCCCTAACCCCCCCAAAAAAACAAACAAAAAACAAAAACTAATAACAATAACAATAATAAGAAAATAGTAATAATAGTAATAATAATAACAATAATAATAATCATAATCATAAACACCAAAATCCCTGAACCCTAGACTCACGAAAGCCCTACCAGACTACCAGACTTGCGATGCAGAATGAACCTAGGCAGGCCCCTTATTCGGGCCCTGGATTGGGGCTTCGGGTTTCGGGTTTAGGGTTTAGGGTTAGGGTTTAGGGTTTAGGGTTTAGAGTTGAGGGAACCTTGAAAAGCGCCCCTCAAAGCTACCCCACAAAATGCAAGGGCCCATACTTCAGAGCGTTTGCCCTAAACCCTAAACCCTAAACCCTAAACCCTAAACCCTAAACCCTAAACCCTAAACCCTAAACCCTAAACCCTAAACCCTAAACCCTAAACCCCTGAAGGTAACGATGCTGCATGGTGAGCTTGGCATGCCAGGGTATCTATGGGAAGTGTCATGGGCCGCATAAAACCATGGCCCCTTACCTACAGTCTGCTGAAGTACCGGCCCTTGGGTGTTTAGGGTTTAGGGTTTAGGGTTTAGGGTTTAGAGGTTATCAGGGGCATACATATAGGGTCCCCCATTTAAGGGCCCATACTACGGGGCCAGAGGCCATGGCGGTTGCGTTTTTTTTTTTTTTTTTTTTGGGGGGGGGGGGGGGGGGGCGGGGGGAGTCTAGGGGTGGGGGGGGGGTGGGGGCGGGGGGTGGGGGCGGGGGGGGGGGGGGGGGGGGGGGTCTAGGGGTCTGTGTTTTTTAGGGGTTTGGGGGCGTCGAGGGTTTTGAGGGTTTTGGGTCTTTTTTGGGTATTTGGGGTTTTCAAGTTGCGGTTCTTAGGGTTCAACGAGCTCATGCTGCAAAAAATCGGTTTTGGATTCTGCGTGTCTTCCGCTTCCCCAGCGCATGAGTTCACCACCCTCTTGCAGAAAAAGTCTCCATCGTCACGAGCTTCATGAGGGGTTGAGAGTTTAGGGTTTAGGGCCGTTTCGGGTTTAGGGCTTAGGGTTTAGGGCTTAGGGTTTAGGGTTTAGGGTTTAGGGTTTAGGGTTTAGGGTTTAGGGCCGCGCACATCCCAAAGAAAACTGTGTGTGGGCATCCCGCTTACGAGCTCTTCGTAGGGAACTCGGGAAGCACACGTACCTTATATCCCCCATACACAATGCAAGGTCCCTAGACCCTAAACCCTAAACCCTAAACCCTAAACCCTAAACCCTAAACCCCAAACCCCAAACCCTAAACCCTAAACCTAAACCCTAAATCCTAGACCTAAACCCTACAGCCTTGGGCACCTCATCCCCCAAATCTCTACCGGGAACTCGTAAGGTGACGTGGGGGGGGGGACTCCTCATGCAGGAGATTGTGGCCAAGACAGTGAACGACCTGGGGGTGTCAGCCTCGATCCGAGGTTTCGGTTTAGGGTATAGGGTTCAGGGTTCAGGGTTCAGGGTTTAGGGTTTAGGGTTTAGGGTTTAGGGTTTAGGGTTTAGGGTTTAGGGTTTAGGGTTCAGGGTTAGGGTTTAGGAGCTTAAAAAACCTCCTGAACTCTCAATCCTACAGCCTCAGCTGCACCGGCATCAGTAGCTTGAGATTTTCTGCACCTGGTTCCTTTAATTCTCGACCCTTCTCACCGAAAGAGGACTTTCCTTGGGACGACATGAACCCTGAAATTGGGGGTCATATACCCTACATTACTATAATTCCTATTAAGGTATATGAACCCTACAAGGGTTTGTGGTGCATATACCTTAATAGAAAGTTTTGGAATGTAGGGTATATGACCCCAATTTGAGGGTTCATGTCGTCCCCAAGGTTGAGGACTGAACGAGCCCCAAGAGAGTTTAACGTCCATAGCCTATACACCTTCACAGGCGTGGGGTATGCGAGCCCGTTGATAGAGGCCCAATGCCGACATGTTGTTGCTTAGGAGATATGAGGTAATCCCTAAACCCTAAACCCTAAACCCTAAACCCTAAACCCTAAACCCCTTGTGTTCCCAGGTTCTCCAGCAGCTTGTACGCTTTTGCCATCGGCTCGGTGTCTTCTTGGCCAGGTTTCACCGTCGCTGCGGGCCCGCGGAATCTTGAGCGTACCCTGAAGCACCCTAAGCTGCACGTCTTCCTCCCAATCCCCCAGATACCCTAAACCCTAAACCTTAAACCCTAAACCCTATAGACCCTCGTTGCCCAATAACTCCTTGATGGAAGACCGGCCATGCCTGTGTTTTGCTTGCTTTTCTGGCTCAGCCTGAGCTTCGGAATTGTTTTGTGCGAAGCTTTGCCCCCCCCTTTGGAGAACATCTCCGATGGACACTCAGCTCAACATGAGTATTAAACGGGGGGGAGCTCGGAGTAAGTACTGATAGTGTTCCCTGTCCCATTGTGCTTGTACCATATCATTATATAATTACCCCCCCCCCCCCCCCCCCCCCAACAAAAAATAAAACCTTTCGAACTATGAGTGCCCCGAATTCGAGGATTTCCCCAGCATAGGAGATCTTTTCGTATTACCACCCCCCCCCCCCCCGAAAAAAAAATAGCAGAGTTCCTCTTTACACCCCCCAGAAATTCAGACCCGAATCGGTGGTTTTGGTGGGGTCTCGGGGTCATCGGGGGTCTCGATTGCCGTGCATGCCAAACCCTAAGCCCGAATCTCCAAACTCTGAAGCCTAAACCCTCAACGCCTCCCAGGAGAATGCCCTGCCCACTCCCCTCACTGCCCCAAGCGTGTTAGGTTATATAAGGGCTTAGAAAAGGTGATCTTCCGGGGAGGGGGGAGGGGGAGGGGGGAGGAGGTGGGGGAGCACGGAGAGAAGAAGCCGTGGAACATTTATAGTCGTATATAGACTAAAACGACATATCCATGAAATAAATATATATATATATATATATATATTTATTTAAATATACATTATAGAGAAGAGCATATATGTGTACATATACTATAGCCTGAAAGCCCCCTCCATTTCCCTGTACTCCTGAGGACGAGATCTGCTACTGTCGAACCTTTCTGGCGCCAAATCGGGAGATCCCGGCGGCGGTACGGCATCAGAGCTGTCCTCCGGATCTGGCACGAGGAGGAGGAGGGGTGGAGGGAGGGGGAGGGGGGGGGGGGGTGGGTTAGGGTTTAGGGTTTAGGGTTCAGGGTTCAGGGTTCAGGGTTCAGGGTTCAGGGTTCAGGGTTTAGGGTTTGGGTTTAGGGTTTAGGGTTTAGGGTTTAGGGTTTAGGGTTTAGGGTTTAGGGTTTAGGGTTTAGGGTTTAGGGTTTAGGGTTTAGGGTTTGGGGAAGGAAGGCCTGAGGAACAGTATATGCCTTAAGGCTCAATTGCAGTTCCTTTCGGTTTTCGTACGCATAGGGTCTTCTTGCAAGGGAACGTATGGAACTACATTTTGAGCCATTGGAAACCTACAACCTAAACCCGAAACCCTAAACCCGAAACCCGAAACCCTAAATCCGAAACCCTAAGCCCGAAACCGAAACCCTAAACCATAAACCCTAAACCCTAAACCCTGAACCCCAAACCCTAAACCCTAAGCCCTAAGCCCTAAGCCCTAAGCCCTAAGCCCTAAGCCCTAAGCCCTAAGCCCTAAGCCCTAAGCCCTAAGCCCTAAGCCTAAGCCCTAAGCCCTAAGCCCTAACCCTACCTTGCACCACCTTACTGCTCAAGAAGGGAGCCCTCAAACAACAGACTGCACCCCCCGTGCCCGCGCTTCCCCACCCCCCACGCCGACCTTCGGGAGAAGCACTGCGCCATAATTCTTATAGGGTTTAGGGTCTAGGGTTCAGGGTTTAGGGTTTAGAGTATAGCCTCTTTAAGACAATGCGTGGTGGGGGCCCACGGGCCGCGACACAGGGGCGATGTTTAAATGGCTGCAAATTGCAGGATGCCCTGGTATTGACAGTCTTCCATTCCGCCGCTGGGGACTAGGGTGCGTCAGCCTAGCAAGGTTTAGCCTAAACTCTCAGCCCTAAACCCTAAACCCTAAACCCCAAACCCTAAACCCTAAACCCTAAACCCGAATCTGTACATATCCCCAGTGTGCAAGCATCCCCACTGCGGACGCAGATAGGGTCTGGGCAGGGTCGCCTCACCGCTTCAGACCCTAGTTAGGAGGTTCATGGTACTTCGTGATGCATTATCACTGTACTTAGAACTGGACATTTGACTGTACTTATAACTGTACTTATAACCATATGAGATCACTTAAGGGGCTTATAAGGGTTTTATAACAGGTACCATGAACCTCCAAGTAGTAGTAGTTAGGATTTGGGTAGTTCTCTAAATTGTGGTCCCTTTCTAGGGCCTAGTATAAGGGTGCCGTACCAGAATGAAAGAGGACCACAAAATGGACCCTAATTTCGAGAACTGCCCAGTTGTTTGAATTCTTTTTGTCTAAGGGAAGTTGCATGGTCGCTTATAATATGGTCCCTTACCTTCTTTGCAGGGTTCTCTAGTATGGGCCCTTGGGTTTTCTGGAGTAGATATTGAATATAAGGGTTCCCCTACCCAAAGAGCCCAATACCCCTTAGTTTAGGAACATACCTTAAATCATACGAAGGATCCCTAAACCCTAAACCCTAAACCCTAAACCCTAAACCCTAAACCCTAAACCCTAAACCCTAAACCCTAAACCCTAAACCCTAAACCCTAAACCCAAACCCTACCTTGCACCACCTTACTGCTCAAGAAGGGAGCCCTCAAAGAACAGACTGCACCCCCCGTGCCCGCGCTTCCCACCCCCCACGCCGACCTTCGGGAGAAGCACTGCGCTATCATTCTTATAGGGCTTAGGGTTTAGGGTTAGGGTTTAGGGTTTAGGGTTTAGGGTTTAGGGTTTAGGGTTTAGGGTTTAGGGTTTAGGGTTTAGGGTTTAGGGTTTAGAGTATAGCCTCTTTAAGACAATGCGTGGTGGGGGCCCACGGGCCGCGACACAGGGGCGATGTTTAAATGGCTGCAAGCAGGCTGCAAATGCAGGATGCCCTGGTATTGACAGTCTTCCATTCTGCCGCTGGGGACTAGGGTGCGTCAGCCTAGCAAGGTTTAGCCTAAACTCTCAGCCCCTAAACCCTAAACCCTAAACCCTAAACCCTAAACCCTAAGCTGAACATATCCCCAGTGTGCAAGCATCCCCACTGCGGACGCGGATAGGGTCTGGGCAGGGTCGCCTCACCGCTTCAGACCCTAGTTAGGAGGTTCATTGTACTTCGTGATGCATTATCACTGTACTTAGAACTGGACATTTGACTGTACTTATAACTGTACTTATAACCATATGAGGTCACTTAAGGGGCTTATAAGGGTTTTATAACAAGTACCATGAACCTCCAAGTAGTAGTAGTTAGGATTTGGGTAGTTCTCTAAATTGTGGTCCCTTTCTAGGGCCTAGTATAAGGGTGCCGTACCAGAATGAAAGAGGACCACAAAATGGACCCTGATTTCGAGAACTGCCCAGTTGTTTGAATTCTTTGTGTCTAAGGGAAGTTGCATGGTCGCTTATAATATGGTCCCTTACCTTCTTTGCAGGGTTCTCTAGTATGGGCCCTTGGGTTTTCTGGAGTAGATATTGAATATAAGGGTTCCCCTACCCAAAGAGCCCAATACCCCTTAGTTTAGGAACATACCTTAAATCATACGAAGGGTCCCTAAACCCTAAACCCTAAACCCTAAACCCTAAACCCTATATGCTTTAAGGACAATTCCTTATTTAGGGCTTCCCTATTAAGGGACCATGGAGTAGCCCTAAGACTGCTGGGAGCACCTGTCGAAACGCATCTACACTCCCACCTTCTGCAGGAGCAGACCGAAATCTACAAGATCGCTAGGGTTTAGGGTTTAGGGTTTAGGGTTTAGTGTGTAGGGTTTAGGATTTAGGGTTTGGGGTTTAGGGTTTAGGGTTTAAGGTCCAAGGATGGCTCTAGAACTGGCCAATCAGACTCCGAAACGGCCTGACAGGACCGGGAGTAGGCCCTTTTTTCCTTTTTGTAGGGTTGGAGTTCCTTTATAATCCCCTTGTTAGACCAAAAAGGGCACTTTTTTTGATTTCTAGGTTCCTCCCGGTTCTAGCCAGTGCCCTGAAAGCCTAGAACCTCCCCTGCCGCTCGGAACCTCCCCAGAGAGCCGAATGCCCCTGAGATAAGGGATACTCCTGAAACCAGATAGGGATCCTTAAGTTATAGTTATAGGGTATAGGGTTTAGGGTTAGGGTTATAAGGTATATTCCTTAATATGAAAGGGGTATGGCGCTCTTTGGGTCCCTGTGGGAGTGTGTCATGTTGCAGGTTTTTTTGCGTTGGACTCGAGTGAAGCACTGATGAATGCAGCGATGCAGAGCAGATCCTCTCCTCTTCCGGCTGCACACGTCAGAGGCCACCCATTGCAACCTCTAGGGTTTAGGGTTTAGGGTTTAGGGTTTAGGGTTCAGGGTTTAGGGTTTAGGGTCCTATAGGACTTGAGAGCAGCCGTTTCTTTTTTCTACATGAAAGAGCATAAGCCCTAAGCCCTAAACCCCAAGCCCTAAACCCATGTAGAAACGCGATGGTTGGAAGTCGATAGGACCGCATTTTGGCCTGGCAGGGCCGAGGTTTGCACAGGTTCCGCACAGGCACGTTTGTGTAGTATGGCCCGCGTCGGGCCGCGTAGGTTGTCGGGTGTATATCATGATCGCGCGCGGTAGATACCGCAGATTCGAAACACTTGCGGATGAATGTGGTGCAAGATTCTAAGAGGTTTAGGGTTTAGGGTTTAATTAGGGTTCAGGGTTCAGGGTTTAGGGTCGGCACATAGCAGAACGCCCAATACCCTACCAACCAAAACAGCTGCGGGTGGATCTTCCTGAGGGCTTGGCGCGTAGGTCCTCATAGCCCATCATCAACCACATACTCTGCGAGTAGGCCGCGCGGCTACTGAACATGAATTCACGCGATCAGCGAAGCCAAATCCCAAAAACTTCAACCGCTACATCTACTAACGAACCTACTTGGTTTGCAGGAACTTGGCTCTAGAGCCGACAGCTCTGAAAACCCGATTGCCGAGCCTCCGTGTCTTTCGTGAACACTTGCCTGCTATTTGCTTAAGAACCCCTCCCCCCCCCCCCCCCCCACACAAACACACACCAAAAAAAAAAAACAGATCTTCCCTATAAGGGTATTTTTTGGTGATTATATATGTAGATATTTATATATTTGTATTTATGTGTGTTTTTTGATTTTTTTCTTGGGGGGGGGGGGGGGTCCTGAAGCAAATCATAGTAGCAAGTTGTGTTGCAGGCCCCAGGGTCCCCAGCTTCACACACTCACAGGGGGTGGCTGTGGCTGAAACAGGCTGCCCGAACTCAGGTCAGTCCAAAGAGATCTTCACATGTAAGCCACCATTTTGGGTTTAGGGTTCAATAGGGTTTGCCGATTTCTGTGTGGCCCTGGTTGATTGGGTGAGCCGAGATATGCAGCGCCAGTCTGCTAGCAGGGCTGTCGATGAAATATCGTCCTGGAGTCCCGAATTTTGCAGGGTAGTCTCATGGGCCCTTGATATGGTCGCGTACCTTCCTTTAAAGGCTTCTGGTTGTATGGGGTATGAGGGGTACTTCAGGCCCATACTAAGGGACCATGTAACTACCCTTGGAGAATTGATCAGTTTAACACCGGAAGGCCCCAAGCGTGTGAGCGCCCCACGGGTGTTTACGCCAAGTCAAGAGAGTGGGATGTCCCCCTTATACTCACAGGCCTTAAACGGCTGATTAGAATAGGGGGGTACTATAATCCCCATGAAGGGCTGTTAGTATAACGGGGAACATCCCAATCAAGAGATTTCAAAAAGCGTCAGGATTGTCCGGGCAAAATTGCTGTTGCTTACGGGGCTGGCGCATAGGAGTTCGTTCAGACAGCAGTCTACTTGGAGGTTCATGGTACTGATTAACCAACTATAACTGTACCCATAACCATACTAGGCCACTTAAGGGGCTTATAAGTGGGGTATAAGTACAGTTACAATTGGCTCATAAGCACTGTGAACCTCCAAGTAGGCTTTCCAGAGAACGCCTCATAGGTTTTGAGCTAAGCCGGACCCCTGCCGCATTCGTGCTTGAGGAAGCCTTCACCATGACCTGCCGTGCGTATGAGTGAACGTGCTCCGCAAAGCACAGACCCGCCGAGAGAGGCAAAGAAGACCGGCTGCAGTTTCAGCACTTTGTAGGAAGACCCTAAACCCTAAACCCTAAACCCTAAACCCTAAACCCTGTAAAGTAGCGTATGCGTCCGAAGATTGGCAATTGCGCAGCCTCATAAGCCCTGGGCCGACAACCTGCCCAAAGAGTCTTAAAGACCTAAGCCATCAAGGTGACCGTGAGATAGGTTTAGGGTTTAGGGTTAGGGGTTTAGGGTTTAGGGTTTGGGATTTAGGGTTTAGGGTTTAGGTTTAGGGTTTAGGGTTTAGGGTTTAGGGTTTAGGGTTTAGGGTTTAGGGTTTAGGGTTTAGGGTTTAGGGTTAAATAGGACTCCCTTGCAATCCCCTGATGAGCTGCGACAGTACCATTTACCACCTCAAAGCCTTAAACTTAAAACCCTAAACCCTATAAACCACAAACCAGCAAAGTTGTATTCGAGTTACATAAGCTACAAAAAAGGAGAAGTCCTTCTCCTCTAAACCCTAAACCCTGAACCCTAAACCCTGAACCCTGAACCCTAAACCCTAGGCTCCACTCGGAGCTTCGTGAAGTGACTTTGACTTCGTCTGGCCGCCACCAGCCAGTCGACAACGCTTCCCCTTTAGTGGTCACAGGGCCTTATACCATGCCCACCCTAAACCCTAAACCCCAAACCCCAAACCCTGAACCCTAAACCCCAAACCCCAAACCCTAAACCCTAAACCCTAAACCCTACTTGCTTAGGTAACTTTCTCAACTAGCTCAGGCCCAACCATGGCCCTGAAGATGTTGCTTCTGCATCTGGAGCGCTCGATGAAGGAGAACGGGACATCGGAGAACTTCAGGGTTAGGGTTTAGGGTTTAGGGTTTAGTGGGTTTAGGGTTTAGGGTTTAGGGTTTAGGGTTTAGGGTTTATTGTTTAGGGCTTAGGGTTTAGGGTTTGGGGTTTAGGGTTTAGGGTCAGGGGTTTAGGAAACAAGTCGCACTTCGGGGCGTGGATTTGAGGGGTTAGCGTCAGGTGCTTGGCGCGCGATGGCACCCCCAGTCTGCGTGACAAGAAGGTTCCCTCAACTGGCAATAAACCCTAACCCAAAACCCTAAACCCTAAACCCAAAACCCTAAACCCTAAACCCTAAAGCCGAAACCTTAAACCCTAAACCCTAAACCCTAAACCCTAAACCCTAAACCCTAAACCCTAAACCCTCCGCCAGGCGCCCCTCGAGTCCGACCTCTCAGAGGCCACGGAGGTGCATGTCCTCTTCAACACCATCAAGGCACCTAACGGGATTTTTTGGATAGGGCTTAGGGTTTTAGGGTTTAGGGTTTAGGGTTTAGGGTTTAGGGTTTAGGGTTTAGGGTTTAGGGTTGCGGGTCAAGGGAGACAAACTTGGACCCCCAAGGATGTTCCGCTAAGAGGTTCCTTGAATATACTCCAAATATTTCCCGTATCTTCCCGTAGAGAATCTTGAAAAAGGGTTCCCAACCCCAAGAATAGCTTTTAGGGTTTTTTGAGGGTTGATGAGGCTGGGAGACAGTACAGTTGATCAAACATTACGGTTTAGGTTCAGGGTTTAGGGTTTAGGGTTTAGGGACAAGGGTTTGGGTTTAGGGTTTAGGGTTTAGGCTTTAGTAAACCTGAACCCTTTTGATCTAGGGCTTAGGGTTTATGGCCGGCAAGGCCTGGCTACTCAATGTGGCCCTTCCGCAGGAGGATCCGGAGGCAATGGTGTGCAGGGGGATGAGTGGGACTTGGGGTGAGAGGCTTGGGTTTACGGTTTAGGGTTGAGGGTTTAGGGCACGGATGCTTGTTGAGGGTTCCCGAAGACCCTAACTTCTAACCCTAAGCCCGAAACCCTAAGCCCGAAACCCTAAACCCTAAACCCTAAACCCTAAACCCTAAACCCTAAACCCTAAACCCTAAACCCTAAACCTTGCAGAGGCGGTGCTCGCTGGCTGGGGCCTGGCGGAGGCGGAGGCCTGGGATGGGTCCCTTGAGCCTGAGGAGGGTGCGCCTGAGGGGGGTGCCTGCTTGAGGGCTTTTTGGGGATTTTGGGGTTTAGGGTTTAGGATTTAGGGTTTAGGGTTGCTTTTGCGGGTTTAGGGTTTAGAGGGCTTTTACGGTTTAGAGATGTTTAGAGAGATGGAGGGGTTGGAGATGTTTGGAGACGTTTTCGGGGTTATAGCGTTTGAAGGAGTTTAAGGTCTTAGGGCTTAGGATTCAAACCAGTTAAGTGTATTTGGATGAGTGGTGGTCTAGTGAGCCTTCAAGAGCTAGGGTTTAGGGTTAGGGTTAAGGGTTAAGGGTTAAGGGTTTAGGGTTTAGGGTTTAGGATTCAGGGTTTAGGTGTTAGGGTTTAGGGTTTTAGGGCGTGTGGCGGGGCTCGAGGGCAGTGAGGGTTCGGTTTAAGGACATCAGGGCCCCTAATGTTGACCTAGTAATAATAAACCCCCCCCCGCCCCCCCCCCCCCCCCTTCAATCAAACCCCCCCAAATAGAGTGAGGCCCCTTTGAATAAGGATTCCTTTCCTTAGAGAGAATTAGAGAGGATCAGAGAGAATCACTCAGGATTCCTTTCCTTAGAGAGAATTAGAGAGGATCAGAGAGAATCAGAGAGGATCAGAAAGGATCAGAGAGAATCAGAGAGGATCAAACAAAGAAAAACGGACCCCCCCAAAAAAAAACAAGCCCCGACTGGCGTACTTTATTTCCAGGGCTTTATTATTGCGGCCGGGACACCTGGCGTACTTTAATGTTAGGGGCTTTAGTAATACTAGGTTAACATTAAGCCCTAAACCCGAAACCCGAAACCCGAAACCCGAAACCCTAAACCCTAAAACCCTAAACCCTAACACCTAAACCCTAAACCCTAAACCCTAAACCCTAAACCCTAAACCCTAAACCCTAAACCCTAAACCCTAAACCCTAAACCCTAAACCCTAAACCCTAAACCCTAAACCCCAGACCAGCCCCGCCTCCCCCCCCCAAACACGCGTCGCCGTGGGGAAGCAGGCGAGAATCTTCGCATACTACAAGCCGGCATCCTTAGCTGAAGCGTAGGGTTTGGGTTTGGGGTTTAGGGTTCAGGGTTCAGGGTTCAGGGTTCAGGGTTCAGGGTTTAGGGTTTAGGTTCCCTTCAAAGCTCGGGGGCGTTCAGGCTTGTTGGGTTCGAGCAGGCATTCACTTACCTTGAACTGCAGTTGAGACACCCTAGTGGCATTCTGGTTGTTTTAAATTCGGCTTGAGGGGTACTGTAGATAGAATTCCTGACTCCCGCTCCCCCCCCCGCCCTTCCCCCCCTCCCTCCCCCCACTCCCCTACTGCTTTCAATTTCCCACCCTTTTTATCCAAGCGGCACCCCGGGTAGGGGCATCTTGATCCAGGTGTCAAGTGCACCAACTCATCCGCCGCACTTTACACCAAAGTCCCATGCTTCAACTTTTCATGGGCTAACCTCTGTTAGGCTTGCAGTTTAGGGTTCATCGATGTCAGATTTAGGGCTTCTGTGGCTTGTGGGCATTGATTCAAGCCCTATAACCCTCTGGAAGGAGTCAACCTGAAACCCCTCCCCCTAAACCCTAAGCCCTAAACCCTAAACCCTAAACCTCTCCTACCATATAATTATAAACCTTAATGGTATTCGTGGGCAAGGCCCAAAAACTCGTGGGCAAGGCCCAAAGATTCGTGGGCAAGGCCCAAAGATTCGTGGGCAAGGCCCAAAATCCGGATTTTGGGCCTTGCCCACGAATTTTTGGGCCTTGCCCACGAATATTTGGGCCTTGCCCACGAATTTGTGGGCCTGTTGGTTCGTGGGCAAGGCCCAAATATTCGTGGGCAAGGCCCAAATATTCGTCGGCAAGGCCCAAATATTCGTGGGCAAGGCCCAAAAATTCGTGGGCAAGGCCCAAATATTCGTGGGCAAGGCCCAAATATTCGTGGGCAAGGCCCAAAAATTCGTGGGCAAGGCCCAAGGCCCAAAATGCCCTTGAGACCCTAAACCGTTGAGCCCCTAAACGCTTGAGACCCTAAACACTTGAGACCCTAAACCCACATTTCGGGTTTCAGGGCCTCAAGGCCTGTCTCAGGGCCTCAAGGGTGGCCCCAAGGCATGGCGTTTTGGGTTTCAAGGCCTCAGGGCCGAGCGTTTAGGGTTTCAAGGCTTCAGGGCCTGTGTTTAGGGTTTCAGGGCCTCAGGGCCTGTGTTTAGGGTTTCAGGGCCCAGCGTTTAGGGTTTCAAGGCCTCAGGGCCTGTGATTAGGGTTTCAAGGCCTCAGGGCCTGTGTTTAGGGTGTCACGGCCCAGCGTTTAGGGTTTCAAGGCCTCAGGGCCTGTGTTCAGGGTTTCAGGTTTCAAGGCTTCAGGGCCTGTGTTTAGGGTTTCAGGGCCTCAGGGCCTGTGTTTAGGGTTTCAGGGCCAAGCGTTTAGGGTTTCAAGGCTTCAGGGCCTGATTAGGGTTTCAAGGCCTCAGGGCTTGTGTTTAGGGTTTCACGGCCCAGCATTTAGGGTTTCAAGGTCTCAGGGCCTGTGTTTAGGGTTTCAGGGCTTCAGGGCCTGTGTTTAGGGTTTCAGGGCCCAGTGTTAAGGGTTTCAAGGCTTCAGGGCCTGTGTTTAGGGTTTCAGGGCCTCAGGGCCTGTGTTTAGGGTGTCAGGGCCCAGCATTTAGTTTCAAGGTTTCAGGGCCTGTGATTAGGGTTTCAAGGCCTCAGAGCCTGTGTTTAGGGTTTCGCGGCCCAGCGTTTAGGGTTTCAAGGTGTCAGGGCCTGTGTTTTGGGTTTCAAGGTCTCAGGGCCTGTGTTTAGGGTTTCGCGGCCCAGTGTTTAGGGTTTCAAGGCCTCAGGGCCTGTGTTTAGGGTATCAGGGCCTCAGGGCCTGTGTTTAGGGTTTCAAGGCCTCGGGGTTTCAGGGTCTCAGGGCCTGTGTTTCGGGTTTAAGGGTCAGCGTTTAGGGTTTCAAGGCCTCAGGGCCTGTGTTTAGGGTTTCAGGACCTCAGCCTCAGCGCTTCAGAGCCCCTCAGGGCCTGTGTTTAGAGTTTCAGGGCCCAGCGTTTAGTCTCAAGGCCTGTGTTTAGGGTTTCAGGGCCTCAGGGCCTGTGTTTAGGGTTTCAGGGCCCAGTGTTTAGGGTTTCAAGGCTTCAGGGCCTGTGTTTAGGGTTTCAGGGCCTCAGGGCCTGTGTTTAGGGTGTCAGGGCCCAGCATTTAGGGTTTCAAGGTTTCAGGGCCTGTGATTAGGGTTTCAAGGCCTCAGAGCCTGTGTTTAGGGTTTCGCGGCCCAGCGTTTAGGGTTTCAAGGTGTCAGGGCCTGTGTTTTGGGTTTCAGGGTCCCAGGGCCTGTGTTTAGGGTTTCGCGGCCCAGTGTTTAGGGTTTCAAGGCCTCAGGGCCTGTGTTTAGGGTATCAGGGCCTCAGGGCCTGTGTTTCGGGTTTAAGGGTCAGCGTTTAGGGTTTCAAGGCCTCAGGGCCTGTGTTTAGGGTTTCAGGACCTCAGCCTCAGCGCCTCAGAGCCCCTCAGGGCCTGTGTTTAGAGTTTCAGGGCCCAGCGTTTAGTCTCAAGGCCTGTGTTTAGGGTTTCAAGGCCTCAACGCCGTGTTTTTTCAAGTTTTTCAGGGTTTTTCAAGGTTTTTCAATGTTTTTTTAAGGTTTTTCCATGTTTCTTCGGGTTTTTTCAGGGTTTTTCTGAGGAAGGGCTGCCCCCGCGACCTTTTCACAGCCTAATTTTGGTCAAGGGGGGGTCGTATTTTTGGGGTTTTAAAGGCGAAATAGTCTTTGGAAAATGCGAATTTTTAGTACTGAAATCGAGGGTTCTGGATGGCCTCTCGTTTTCTGGATTTTTGTGTTTTTCAAGTTTTTCAAGACTTTTCCGCGACCTTTTTCACAATGATTTTGGTCAGGCGGGGTCATTTTTCGATTTTAAAGGCAAATAATCTTCGGAGACCCCCCTTGCCTCGAACTCCGACCACCCCATGAAGGAAAATTTGCTTCCAAAAACACCCCAAATGGGGGGGGACCCCAGGCTTTTTTGTTTCCTTCTTTTTTTCAGGGTTTTTTCAGTTTTTTTAAATTTTTTTCAAGGTTTTCAGGGTGTTTAGGATTTCAGGGCCTCAAGGCCTGGTGAATGCCTATATTTAGGGCTTCAAGGCGGTTCAAGGCTTCAAGGCCTAGTGTTTAGGGTGTCAAGACCTCAAGGCCGTATTCAAGGCTTCAGGGCCTCAAGGCCTGGTGTTTAAGGTTTCAGGGCCTCAAGGCCGGGCGTTTAGGGCCTCAAGGCTTGGCGTTTAGGGTTTCAGGGCCTCAAGGCCTAATATTGAGGGTTCAAGGCCGAATGTTTAGGGTTTCAAAGCCTGAAGGCCTGGTGTTTAGGGCTTCAAGACCTCAGTTTAGGGTTTCAAGACCTCAAAGCCTCGTGTGGTTTCCTCCTCGTTTGTTAAGTGGAAGTCATTCATTTTGTTATTGAACCATCCTAATAAAAGGAAGAAACTTTTTATTTCTCAATGTTATGGGAACTTCGGGTGGGTGGGTATTTTTCGATGTTCTAAACACAGAGCCTAAACGAGAAAGTGCTCGACCAAGAGCTCTTGAACCCTAAACCCTAAACCCTAAACCAACAGCGTGTCTGCACTGAGGAGTTTCTGGACGGCAGTGTATACCGCTGAAGCGGAAAGCAAGCGCAATCCGGCCCAGTGCCCCAGCGCCTTCTCAGGGTGCCTTCGCGGGGCTTGGGGTTGAGGGTTTAGGGTTTAGGGTTTAGGGGGATGTACTCGGACATACTATGATGTACTCTGGTATACTACACGCCATCAGAAACATATACTATATCTAGTGCACGCTGTGATTTACCTTACTGGATTTGAATATACCAGAATATACCATGCTGCACTATCATTGAACATCAGATGCCCTAATATACTTTAGTACAAATATGCCGGAATCGAGCCTAGCCTACTATAGTAATTACAACTTTCCTATGCTACATCATACTGTGTTTTTCCACTGCGGCGAAAGATGCAGCCGTCATTTTCCAACGGCCCAAGAGGAGAGCGTCACAGGGACAATCCAAGTATAGGTTTAGGGTGTAGGGTTTAGGGTTTAGGGCTTAGGGCTTAGGTCAGAGGGCTTGCGGGTATTGGTTGCGCGCGAAGCGTTGTCACTTTGCTGATTGCAAGGTTACCTTACCCTACACCTAGACCCCTAGCCCTCGAGCCAGACCTGACCCAAACTCAAAAACTGCAATCTACCTTAGTGTTGGAACTTTTCGGGCCAAGAGTCTAGGCCATGCTTGAGTAGACCCCGACTGGGTTGCACGACTGCCGGGGGCTGTTCATATTGCATAGTGTAGTTGCCACCGTGGCGAAGTTCCAGACGAAGCCTTTTGCGATAAGCCCTGTAATTCCCTTATTCCCCCTTATGGGGAGGTTTAGGTTTCCGAAACCTCCTTGAGCAGAAAAGGCTCCAAAAAAGGACACCCCTCTTTGATCCTAGGTTACCGGGCAACCTAGTCAAGGCTTCACGTCTTAGTATCTTGTGTTTTTTTAGTATTCATAGGTTCTAGGGTTTAGGGTTTAGGGTTTAGGGTTTAGGGTTTAGGGTTTAGGGCCTTACTAAAGCATGCATCTGCCCAGGGTGAAGAGGGAGCCGCAAGCTCGGATGCTGTGGTCGTCGCCTTGGAGAGGAGCAGGCCAGATGTCTTAGGGTTTAGGGTTGAGGGTTTGGGGTTTGGGGTTTGGGGTTTAGGGTTTAGGGTTTAGGGTTTCGGGTTTCGGGTTTCGGGTTCAGGGTTTAGGGTTTAGGGTTTGGGGTTGCGGGCCGATATAAGAGGCCCCGGTGTGAAGGACGCAAGCAAGGCACCGCCATCTCTTCCCCCCAGGGCTGGTGGCTGGCAAGTGTTTAAAGTTTTGGGTTTTAGGGTGTAGGGATTTGGGTTTAGGGTTTAGTTTAGGGTTTAGGGTTTGGGGTTTAGGCTTTAGGTAGTCACCGATCCCAATCCACATCACCGTCGGTGGCTTCGAGGTTCTACTTGGAGGTTCATGGTACTTAATAACCAATAAGAACTGCACTTGTAACTGTACCTATAACCATATTAGGGCACTTAAAGGGCTTATAAGTGGGTTATAAGTACAGGTATAATTGGGTATTAAGTACCTTGAACCTGCAAGTAAGGTTCGGGGGAAAGTGTTAAGTTCCCAAAACCTACCCACGTTCCCGAAACCCCAAACCCGAAACCCGAAGCCCGAAACCCTAAACCCTAAACCCTAAACCCTGAGCCAGGCAAGGAGGCGGTAAGCCACCTCGCGCGGAGAAGTTCTACGCGCTCTGCGCCGGGCCTAGAGCGGGGGAAGGCGTACTAGCGGGTTTAAGGTTTAGGGTTTTTTGGCGGACTGGCTTGAGCAAACTGCGCGCGATAAATTCCGGGCATTGCGCCGCTGCATTGTAGCAGCGAAAAGCGTCTTGACTAGAGAAACAAACAGAAAATTGCGCCGCACCAGTGGGATCTATAAGAACCTTCACTGGCCGACGACCGGCGACAGAGTCGCCCAAAAAGGCTGCGGGCCAGCTGTACGTATTGCAGGGCGCCAGCCGTGCCGATGTCGCGGAGGGGCTCCGTTCCGCGTCGACCTGGTCACCCTGAACGTAAACCTGCCTGCAGTGGGCTTGCTGCTTGAGGTGTTCTCGGAGCCGCGGCTGCTCCCAGAATTCCACCCCGCAGACTTCGCAGCGGGACCCGACGGCAACCGTTGAAGCTTCAGACCGCTCCTTATGGCTGTGCCATCGGTGCAGTGCTAGCAGCCGCGGTGTGTCACAGACAACGCCACACCGAGTGCACATCCACCCTTCTTCCGCGCTGGGAGCCGCTGGGACGCGCGAGCGTGGTATGTACTGCACTTCCGAGGAATGCGCAGCGCGCATCAGCCTGCCTCGTTCAGCGCGTGCCGCGACTTGCACGCGGATGAAGTGCCGGAGCTGATTGCCGATATGCCTGCGCTGATCACGTAGCACCGGCAAAAGGCATCCGAGGTCGGCCTCAATGAAGAGGCCCTCTGGCCCTCTGCAAAAGGCGTGCCCGGGCCAGCCTTGACCGTATGCGCCAAGGCATGTCGCGCCTGTCGCAGCCACACGCCATCTGCTCGGACCGCTTGCCAGACTTCCTCTGCCACGATGGCTGACGCCTCAAGTAAGCAGCGTGCCTGCTCCACCATGAGCTGCTCCTGGGGCAGCGGGAGCTCCAACATGGCGGCAGCCTGTTCGGCGTTATATCCCCGCATGGAGATGCCGTGGATTGGCCTGAGGGCTCCCCGGAGCACCTGCGAGAGAGGCTCCAGCGCGGCTTGCTTCTCATGCTCCGTCTCGAGTCTCCACAAGCCCGCCCCGAACATGTACTTCGAGAAGACTCGTTCGGAAACCAACCTTTGCTTCTCGGCCACCGTGACGAAAGGGTTATTGAGGACCTTTCTCCGTAAAGGCTGCCAAGCTTCCTGCATGAGGGCGTAGCGGTGACGGAGATTGGGGTATTCGTGGCAGTCGGCCCGAAGCACGGACCCCAGGTGCACATACGACTCCACGACCCTAACCCTGAAAGTGTGGCCATACGTGGTCGTGACTTGCACGTGCGGGTTGTCTTGGCTCAGCAGGTCCTTGCGCGTGGCCAGGGAGTGCTTTCCCCGCAGTGCCAGGATTGCCTCGGTCTTGCCGGGGCCGTAGTTGAAGCGTAGCCCTAAGCCCTGGACTAGCTCCTCCGCCAAGCGTGCCACCTCGATCAGTGCACGTGGCGTTTCCGCCGCGCTACTGGCGCTGAACAGGACTGCCACGTCGTCGGCCCATGTGGGGCTACTGGAAAGTCCCTGCTCCCGTTCACTGGCGCCAACGTCAGAGCCACGACATACAAAGGCAGAGAGTCCGGCTTTCGCTAAGGCACGTTGCAGGCTTTGCAGGAAGGGCGAGAAGAGGACACCAAAAAGTGTATCAGCAATGGGCGACCCGGGACTGGTTCCGCTGTGCGTCTGCCACAATGCCGCGCCTTCCCTGTCCGTTGTGAACCATGACTGTTCAAACAACCCTTCAACGTAGCGCCGCAGCTCGGCTGAGACCTGTCCTTGGTCCAAAATGGGCCCCGTTTGCAGCCGGTCAACGAAAGCTTGCTTTCCGGTCTCATCAGCGAAGAGCTGTTCTGCCCGCTCCCTTAGCCAGCCTGGCCTTGTGAACCTCTCCTTCGGCAAGGCCAAGACTTCCCGCACGACGGAGTAGTATGCAGCGGTACAGTCCAGGAACAAGATGCCCCCACACTGTCCACGCGCTCGTAGCGACGCCAAGTGGGAACGCGCAAGGAACGCGGGCAGTGTCAGAGGGCACCCCGGCACCCCCCCATATTGGTCGAAAGGTTTGCTGCCGCAAAAAACCTTGAGCAGCTTGGGTCTAAATGCTCGCTGCACTGCCTTAGCCTCCGCCTCCAGCAACATGATTGAGCGCCAAGAGGCACAGCACGTGGGGTCTTTGCTCCCCTTTGGTATGCTGTGGGCAGCCCCCCTTTCCATTGGAGCGGGTGGCAGCCCTGCGCGAGAGCCTTGGCCATGATTGGCCATGTCACAGTGGCCGCAGCTTGTGGCGCAAGCCGGTAGACGTCCGCCGGGAGACCTGAAAGCCCGGGCGCTTTTCCCGCAGCCATTTGGCTGTACGCCGAGGCAAGGTCTACAATGGTCGGTACTTCTTGGCTGTCGATGGCATCTGTGGCATGCTTAAGACCGTGGCATCCTTCCGATAGGAAGTCCCTGGGCTCAATGCGTTGCGCTCGCTCCGCAGCAGCATAAAAGTCGCCCAGGGCGAGTTTGACGGCACGCGGGCTGTAACAGGTACCTTGGTCAGTAGTCAAGGCTGGCAGCAAGGGCGGCGCCTTGAATTTTCGACCTGTCCTCAGAATGCTTCGAATGCGGTGAGCAAAGGCGGCTGACCCTGTATCCCGGGCTGTCTGCATCTCTGCTCTCATGAACTCCGCCTTGTCAAACTGGACATTCAAGTTGAGGCTCCACTCGCACGCATGCTGTTTGCCTTGCCACTGGAGCAGGTTGCGTCTCAGCCCCCGGAAAGAGCGAAGCAGGAAAGGTCTCTCATGTGCAGTTTCCCCCCTCAAAGCATTAAAGATAGCCTGCGTGGTGGCCCGTCGGACCCGGGCTTTCAATGCCCGCACGACGCAACGACAGTGTCTGTTCTGCCGGACCAGCATGAAGGTGATCTCTGTGAAGGCGGGATGACGTGGCCCTTTGCACGCGGCAGGCAAATGCTTCGCAAGGAAGGTGCGCAGGTGTTTCTGTACAATGTCAACATGCGTGGTGGGGTCGACATGCCAAGGTACCGCTGGCACGGTACGGAAGGCCTCTTGCACCGCTTGACGGCCTTCCACCGTGTCAAGCTGTTGTTGGCGGATGGAAGGCTGCCTTTTTTCGCATGCAAGATCAAGGTGCAGGGTACACGTGGCCAGAATGGGATAGTGGTCCTTTCCTGCATGCAGGTCATTGAGAGTAGTGACTGTACTAGTGCGTAGTCGTTCTTCCCACGCTTCTGGGACAGCTACATAGTCGATGAGTGACAGGGCCCCCTTAGGGCTACGCCATGAAAACAGGCGCGCGCCCTCAGGGTCATATTGCGCCGTGACTGCAAGGCCATGTCTGCCGCAGAACTCAGCAAGCGCAATCGCATTGTTGTTCTTGGGGACAGCGTCCCTGGTGAGGGGCGACCCTCGGTCAGCCTCAAAGCGTGCGTTTGCATCAATACACAGCAGGGGAATCATATGTGCCGGTAGGCCGTTGAGCCGCGCCGACAATCCGCGCCAGAAGCGTTCCCTTGTCTCATCAGTGGCGGCTGACGTGGGCGCATGCGCTGATACGAGGACAAAATGGAGGGTCCCCAGCTGTGCAGTACAGACAAGGACTTGCGGTTCGGCAACAATGATGGAAAAGGATTCCCGGTTCCATACAGTAGCTTCGTCGTCTATCTTGTCTGCAGTCAACCACAGCTGACAGCCCCCAATGCCCTTCTCGTCGCACGGCGCATGCAGTACCCAAAAGCTACCTATCCTGGTGATCCCGGAGACACTGGTACGTGTTTCCTGAATACCCGCAACTGAAACCCTATGCCTATCCAATCCCCGCCGGAGGAGCTCCTTCGCGAGGTCCCCTTTGCTGGAAAGACAGTTGTACTGCAGAATCCGCAGGGAAAGCTGGACTGTCTTGGTTTTAACCTCTTCGCTTACCCCAAAAGTGGCAAACTCCCGAGGTTTGGTGACAGGCGAACGCTCAGTGGAAGCTCTTAGCCATTCACCTTCGGAGTTGCAGAATGGAAGCTGCTTCTGCAGGACCGGCCGGGTCTTGTCCTAGAAGCCATGCACGTTCAAGGAGGCCTTCCTTAGCAGCGAGGTTTAAGGTGTCGGTGACAGGCGTCAAGGCAGATTCATCCTTATGACGGGCAATTGCTTTAGCAATGTTGTCTGCCGTTTCGTTAAAGAGGCAGCCTGCATGTGCCTCGACCTTCATGCACTGCACCGATTGGCCATGCGTGGCTGAAGCGAAAGCAAGTCCAGCAGCTCCTCTGACGGCCGGGTCTTCCGTGGGGAGAGCGCAAAAGGCATGGGTAGCCGCCAGAGCGGAGGCACAGTCACTCCCGATGAAGGCCTGAACAGGCCGGTTGGCCAAAGCAATCGCCCTTGCATGAAGAAGGGCTTCCGCCTCCCCATCATATGCACCTCTCCCCAGTGAGTGTTTAACAAGTCCTGCCAAGACCCCAACCTTAACAACCTGAGCCTGCTGTAGGGCGATCACCACTGTCGCCCAGGCTGCAGTTTCTGAGTTAGGGCAGTATGAACCATCTGTAAAGATGTAAATGGCAGAGACTGGACTGGATTTGTCCCACACCGGCAGAGATGCCCACAATGCTTGGACTGGCAAGGTGACCCCTTTAACATCCCAGAAAAAGGTGTGCAGATTCGAAAGGCGGTGTGCTGCGAGCGCTTGCTCCAACATGGCAGAGTTGATGCCATGGAGCCAGCCAGGCTCCGGGGCTGGCAGAAGTGCAGTGAGGCTCAGAGTTCTCCGCGAACCCGTGCAGGCAGCATTTTCAGATTTGCTCCCCTTTGCCTTGTCAATTGTCCGGCGGCCAAGCGGGGTCGGAACCTGTAGGGCCTGTCCGGGGAGGGTGCTCGCAGGGGCCGATGTCGGTTGTATGCTGATGGCTCCTTCTTCTTGACCCCCGTGCCTGTGCTCTGTTCCAGTATGAGGTCTGGGCCAGACCCGTTCTCCTTGATTGGTGGCCGTCTGTTCCTCGGGATCAC